AACAAGGATGCCCCGAGCTCATTGTCAACATGTTCTGCACTCGAACTCGAACATGAGTGTTTGTTTGAAGTGAAAATAAAAATAAAGCACCAATAATTCCTATAGGTATAGGCACAAACACAAGAGCAGCGTACGTAAGCATAGCCGACAGGCCTTAGAGCCGAAATTCTGAATAATTGATAGATTGGTATGAATTTGAAATTCATATGTGGTTACCTGTGTTACATGTTTTCAAATGTTCCTTCATTCTGTTCACCAAACCCTGCATACTTTTTCCACAATTTCGGGACTGCTCTACATCCAGATTTTCCTCTTTCTTTGTTTGACATTTCGATAAAGTTTATCCAAACTGGGTCCTTTTTTCTTCCAGCGTTACTTATTAACTCATTATCATCAAAATTTGCAAGTAATTTTACAACAATGTCAACAAATTCAAAAGTATGCAAAGAAAAGTATGACAAATACGAATTGTTTGACGTTTGTCTTTTTTGTGTTGCCAGGTGCAAAATTTTAATCCTACTATGTAAAAAAGTGTTACCTACTCGTGAGTTTCAAAGTATACAATAAAAATAATTATTTAATAAAAACAGCATGATTTGATTAAAATTAAAAAAAATCATGTCCTTCCGTCTGCGGTTTTACTCAGAGACCATAGGTGCTACAAATCTGTAATTTGGCATAGTTATAGATATTTTTTTTTATAGGATCGGGTGACAAACGAGCACACAGTCCACCTGATGGTAAGTGGTTACTGTGACCCATAGACATCTACATCTATCCTCAATAAAGACTCAAGATGCAGATGCGTTGTCACCCGTGAGGACTAAGATGGAATGCCTCTTTGCCAGTAAAAAGGGTCTCCGGTTCTCTACACTCACCATACGAAACACAGCAGCGTTAAGCTGCTATTTTACGCTGGTTTTCTGTGAGAGCGTGGTCCTTCCCCGGTCGAGCCGACCCATTCGTGCTACAACCATAATATAGCTGCAGCATGGCTCTACTACGTTTATATTAATCACGCATCAAAAACTGTGAAATAAAATCTAAGAAAACATTGTTATTTTCGATACTTCCGATACAAGTAAATGGAGGATTATTTTTTTTACCCGTCTATTCAATGAACAACATATTTTCGATTCAGGGGTCCGTTTGCGAAATATTACTTTTAAAGTGGTATTTTTCATAACAGACATGTCCCCTCCCTACCACCCAAACCGCTATTTTTGGAAATGTGAAAAGTATACACATTAGTAGAATATATAATGAAGTTAAAAGGAAAATTATCACAGTTAAGTAGAATTAAGATGTTAACGAGTAATAGTCGACCAAGTTAAAAATGCACTTGGATTATTAAAAGTGTCCTTACAACTCCATACAAAATGACCTAAAACTAGCTGCATTATAACTTTGTAATGTTATTGTAAACTTAAAAGTAAACATTTTATAAAGAAAACGTTATTTAATGTAAATTGTATTATTTTCACAATCGAAAAGTTTTTTTAATCTTTTTTGAATATCGATTCCTATAAGTCTGATTAGAAAATAAGTCCGCCAGTTACCATCTTCCTTTTTGGGCCCATTTTTAGTTGTTATAGCGGTCAAACCGCGAACTCACTTGTTATTCTCATTATCAAGGAAGCCCACGTATTGTAACGGGCTACTAAGGAACCCTATCTCTACATTGTGCGTGGCCCGACACGCACTTGGACAGTTTTTTTATTATTAAATAGGTGGTCAAGGGTGGTCCTATATAAATTTGAAGATCAAACACCCCTAAGGGTAGTAATAGAGGATAGATGTAGATGTCTATGGGCCACTGCAACCACTTACCATCAGGTAAATTGTGTGCTCGTTGTCGCCATTATCCTATAAAGAAAGAAATCATTTTTGAATAAAGTTATAGTAGTATTAAAGTGTAGAAGTGACCTTCCAGGTCGTTCCAACTTCTATAAAAGCGGCTTTATCGATAATCTCATTTAAGATAGCGGTTAGTGACTTTTTATTTGTTACGGTATTTCACAGTTACAGCCTATTTAAATTCACAGCTGAACATAGGCCTCCCCCATAGATTGCATCATAGGAAGGATATTTGCCATAGTTGACAAGCGGGTTGGTTTTATTTTTAGTTGTTATCAGAAAGACGCTGCTGCCCATCTTCTAACTTGTTTTCATTTGTCACCTCGTACGACACCCTTGGGACGATATGGAGTAGTGCATATACTTACACCGCCACTACACGGTGTGTCACTGTGAGTGAGTGTGTGTGTGTTGTATCCACACTAACAAATTATTATTTTTTTGTACTTTTGTAATAATCGTAATGTAGATTAGTATAGTAAAAGAATAAAGAGTAGATTTGTATAGTTTCGACACATCTGTATTGTTATTTGGTTATAATTTTATGAATAACAGATTTGGTAAGCCAAATCAAGCATCATGTGGTAGAAAGGGACTCAAAAATTCGTGAATGTTGCATGACATATTTCATAGGCGGCTATATATTACATTATTTTTTGTATCGTTTTACGCTATATCTTGGCCAAAATAAACCGATATAAAATATTCTAAAAAATAGAGGTGAAAAATAGAGATGAAATTTATAATGTAACTATTTAGACAACATTGTATTAGTTTTTACCTTAAGATTATGATATTGCTTCTCTCAAAAAGATCTTAAATGAAGCTACCTAAAAGTACTTTTTTGGTGTATAAAAATACCAAGTGTCTAGGCTAGCTGTTTAAAAAATAAAAATAGTTTATTCTATATAGTAAATGGTCATACATTAATTATAACCGGGGACGGGGTCTCCTTTTAAGTATAAAAACTTGTGTTAGGAGACTCCACTCTTCCATAGCACTTACATTAACTACTTGCATGACCTTTATACATAATAATTGACTATAAAAATTAAAATAATAAAGTAATTACATTCACGCCAAAGGTGTGTTTACGCGCAAACGCGTGCGTGATTGCGTGCGTGCGTGCCCGCGCGCGCTCGTTTGTTTGTGTGTGTGTGTGTGTGTTACAAATAAATTACATTATTTTATTTTATGATACTTAAAAGAGCCTCAGTATCATCATACTCTTATTCAATAGCCATTTGGTTAGAGCATATTTGCAATTTCGGTAATTAAGGTGGTAAATATTTATGTTTTACGAGTATTAATGGCGTTGTATAGAGTCGCAGACTGTTTTACATATTGCCTCCTAGCTAAAGCGGTTTTAACAGTGACAGCTGTAGCTGCTACTTTTTTCCTTCTTTTGGCTACAATACAACTGTCAAACTTTATACCTTACCTTTATGCAGTCTTAGAACGGAATATAAGATGTACAGTTTCCTAACAGTGAGTACATTACTTAAAGCATAGAGATCTTCTGTTGGGAATCTTTTTGGTTTAAAATGCATAATTGTTAACAAATTTCTCTGTGCTCTTTCAACTTCTAAAAACCCTTCAACTTCTAAAAACGCTGTTCCCATGATAAAAGTAAGGTTGCTGAGAGTGAATGTCTGAAGGCATAGGTCCGCCCTTTGTAACCCTTTTGTTGAATTGAATTGAATAAATGGGCTCTTTTCCGCAAATCCACGTATTTTGCATGTGGGCAGGAATAATGTATTTATTCGAGTCATGAAATCTCCCCGAAGGAGTTCAACAGTCCTTTGAAGTTGCAAGCAACTTCGGGGAGTGATCCCGGCGTGCCGAGATGTTTAGCCCTGTATGCAGCGACTGCCGAACATGTAAGATAGGAATTTTTGAGTGAATTCTATTAATTATGCCTGTATGAGGGACTCTATTCTTACTCCAAAAATTTAGGGTCTTGAGTCTAACGGCAGCTAAAGTCGCTTCTTGTTGTATGTGTATATAAAGCGGGGTTAGCTCCAGCATCGCTAAAGTAAGGCTGCTGGTGTCGTAGGTCTTATGCAGCCTGTGGCAGCCATACATGCCAGTCTCTGGTAACACAGAAGCTTCTTTATAGTGGTGGCTTCGTTTGTTTTGGTCCACCATACCTGAGCGCTGTATGTGATCATGGACCGAATAACAGTTTTGTATAGCCATGCCATGTATCCCCAGGTGAGTTTTGAGAGAGACTGAAGTTGTTGACGAGTATGTTTACCTGGGATAAATAGTCCGACTAGGTAAGTCCAACTTCGACCGAGAGGTCAATCGACGGATTCAACTCAGCTAGGCAGCGTTCGGGAAAGTACGACACATCTTCTCGTTAGACATACCTCAAAACCTGAAAACGAAATTGTACAACCAGTGCGTGTTGCCAGTGATGACTTACGGATCTGAGACATGGTCCTTCACTGCTGGCCGTGTGAGGAAGCTCAAGGTCGCTCAGCGAGCTATGGAGAGAGCTATGCTCGGGGTTTCTCTTAAATACTTACACTTACTTACATAATAAACTTAGAAATGAGGATATCCGCAGTAGAACCAGAATAACCGACATAGCCCAACGGATTAGTAAGCTGAAGTGGCAGTGGGCCGGCCATATAGCTCGAAGAACCGACAACCGATGGGGAAGAAAGGTTTTCGAGTGGCAGCCTCGTACCGGTAGGCAAAGTGTAGGGCGACCCCCCACTAGATGGAGTGACGACCTGGTAAGGCATGCAGGAAGTCGATGGATGCAGGTGACTCAGGACCGTGCTTTGTGGCATTCCTTGGGGGAGGTCTATGTTCAGCAGTGGACTTGTGAAAGGCTGTAATGATGATGATGATGATGACTCCAGGGTCTGACTCAATCAAAAAAAAACGAGTCAGACCCCATCGTTTGCCAATCATGTTTCTGCATTGCCAGAAAGTTATACTAGCTTTGTTGATTTTGTTTTCTATGTGTTTATTCCAGTTGAGTTTACTGTCCAAGGTAAGACCTAAATATTTTACCTCGGAGGATAGCTGGAGTTTTGTGCTGAAAAGACTTAGGAGATGATAGTAACCCTTTTGTTAAGATGTAAACAATAAAGTGTAAATAAATAAATAAGGCATATAAAATGTTCCAGACAATAAACAAGGATTATGCAACCAAGCTAGAAGAAGTCGGAGAGCTGCAAGCAGCATGTATGAAGGAACTTAATCATCAAAGATATCGCATGTCGGTTATCACAGGTGCACTGAAAAGGTCAGATATAATCGTTAGTTACTGCTGCTATTATTAACTCTTATCGTATTATTTATATAAATTGTGTTATCGTTTTATTTCATAACTGCTTCTAACACAGTCTTATAATGTTGAAAATAGGTTTATACGTTAGATTATTGAATTAAGGGTTATACCAAAAGTTCTCATCCAAACAAAAATTAATAGAGCATGTGATTACATCACAGATAAAGTTAGTCCTAAGACATATTGTATCGTAGAATTATACGATACAATATGTCTTAGAACTAACTTTAGAAGCTATGTGAAAATATTATTTACATAATTATTTTTAGAGTTTTTATAACGGTTAAAAAGTTTAATTATAACCTAGACATAATAAGGAAAATTTTGTATTATTACTGATTTAATTTTCTATAAAAAGTGAAATTTATCGGATTGGACGAAACAAAATTGTGCATTGTCTTTGCCGAGTCTTATCAATATAATCTGCCAGATTATGTATCATTACTCTGTATATTATTAGTTGGATAACTACACTAACAAACATTTTAAACCATTTTAATTTATTACTTAGTTAATTTCAGTGACAATCTGTTTAATTCAAACCAACCTTCTCTATCAAACACTTAGTACAATATTTTGTATACAAGTAACATAACCTGTCAAATGTCGTTCTTTTTTCTTTTGTCTACATCATTTCATAAATTGGCTTTGTCGTATTAATCCTTCTCTTTTCTAAATATCGATTTTCTCACAACTTATTCAATGAAAGTAATAATATCTATAAAATCTCTCCAATATATTTTACAAACGTGCAATTTGAAGATGTAATCGTATAAACCGAGAGGAGAGACCTGGTGACCTGAGAGAATAGGTATTGTTAAATACCTTTATTAGGCACCTGTCTCTCACAAACTAGAGTTCAATACGGTTATAGTTTATAGTTCAACATGTTTGTCATCAATTATTCTGTACCTGTTTGTGATGACAACATAAATATAAGTTCTAATAATTATTAGCTAATTAATTTATCATTATCTATACAGTGTATTATAAGTCTCCTGCTCTGAGCAAATGCTTTCCACATAAACTCGTTTTATTAGTATAAGGCTATTGCTGAAAAACCCCTTAATTCCCATTGGTTTTCAGTTCTTCCAACTGCATGATGGTCCATCGATACTTCAACTTATTAATCACAAAAAGTATATAATCACTATGTTTAATTAATCCATTAACTTAGTAATATTAAGAACTTTCGAGAGTAATTTCAAATAATCCAATTTATATGTATTGGAGTATGTGAAACTTTTCAGCATTTGATTAGATAGAAACTTGGTATGGATTAAATTATAGATTATTTTTAATTAACTCAGATAAGATGATACTGTGTTATTACTTTTTCAGTTTCCCAATCGTGTAATATCACTGATAACTAATGATAATTCAGTAGTAATGTATGAACTGTACATTGAAAAATATCCACTCAATATAATATTTTATAATAATCGCCGTGTAGTGGATTTGTAAGAGAATCCACTTTAACATATCATCCCGTGGCTGTCGTATGTGGCAACATAGCCACAAAGAGGGACACAAAGACACATTACCGTCGATAATACGACCCGTGTTTCACCTCACAAACGATGTATCATCAGGTGAAATACACTGTTTCAATGTGGCCGTTCGCCGCCACCCTCACTGTGGTTAGCGATTGATTAATGACTATTTCTCCTGATAATGCCTCGCTTAGAGGTCCATAATTTTACAGAATAAATTACGATTCATTTTCTATCATTGCTTTGATTGTAACACAGGAAAAAGGAACGTACATGTGCATATATAGAATTTTTGCACCGACATTCGATTCGAAAACATATACGTTAAAGATAGCTTTAACCGCCTCTCTACCATTATAGCCCATCACAAGTCTACTGCTGAACATAGGCCCCCCAAAGGATTGCCACAGCCATCTCTCTCCTGAGATACCTGCATCCATCGACTTCCTGTATTCATTATTCTTCTTGTTGTCTTACCTGGTCATCACTCCGATTATTGGGGTGGCCGTCCTGCACTTCCTTTATCCGTACGACGCAGCCACTCGAGAATCTTTTTTCGCCAATCGGTTTTTCCTAAATTATACCCCACAAAGCGTGTAGAAGAACGACAAGTAGACTTCCCCATCGGTTGCAGGTACTCAAATTATACCCCAAAAAGCGAGAAGAAAACGACGAACCAGAAGTGGAAAAACAGAAAAAATGTTTTTACCCAAAAGTTCCAATTGTAATTACAAACATTCTAAATACTGTTTACCAATAATTTTAGAACCTTTTCAATCCCTGATTTATCAGATAAAAGAACTAGAAGTTTTCAGCTTCTATTTCTTAAAATATTGTTACAACAATTTTAAAAAACATTTATGCATAAATCATAGAAATAGGATTTTTTTTAACTTACAGATTAGAAAAAAAAGGTGTCACTAAGGATGAGCGTGTATCTAATCTTGAAAAAGAAATCATGAAGAGGAAAGCAATGCTGCATGAAATTGAAGCTACTCTCCCAAAACAAAACAGCCTGTACTTAAAAATTATTCTTGGAAACGTAAATGTATCAATACTGAATAAAAATGATAAGTAAGTTTACTATACTCGTATAGTTACATATTATTGTTCTAAATATCCGAAATCAGTTCAGACATGAAAACTTTTCGAAAATTCTCTACCAGTATCATCATTACATCATTACAGCCCTTCACAAGTCCACTGCTGAACATAGGCCTCCCCCAAAGAATGCCACAAAGCACGGTCCTGAGCCACCTGCATCCATCGACTTCCTGCATGTCTTACCAGGTCGTCACTCCATCTCGTGGGGGGACGCCCTACACTTCGCCTACCGGTACGAGGCTGCCACTCGAGAACCTTTCTTCCCCATCGGTTGTCGGTTCTTCGAGCTATATGACCGGCCCACTGCCACTTCAGCTTACTAATCCGTTGGGCTATGTCGGTTACTCTGGTTCTACTGCGGATATCCTCATTCCTAAGTTTATCACGCAGAGAAACTCCGAGCATAGCCCTCTCCATAGCTCGCTGAGCGACCTTGAGCTTCCTCATACGGCCAGCAGTGAAGGACCACGTCTCAGTTCCGTAAGTCACCACTGGCAACACGCACTGGTTGTACAATTTCGTTTTCAGGTTTTGAGGTGTGTTTGACGAGAAGATGTGTCGTAGCTTCCCGAACGCTGCCCAGCCGAGTTGAATCCGTCGATTGACCTCTCGGTCGAAGTTGGACTTACCTAGTCGGACTATTTGTCCCAGGTAAACATACTCGTCAACAACTTCGAGCTTAGTGCTCCCAACAACTACCGGCATAGGTGTGACATGGACATTGAACATGATCTTTGTTTTGTCCATGTTCATCTTAAGACCTATCCGTTGGGAAACACTATCGAGGTCATTGAGCATAGTGCTTAGGTCCTCCAGCGATTCTGCCATAAGGACTATATCGTCGGCAAATCGAAGGTGAGTGATGTACTCGCCATTGATGTTGATACCGTATCCTTTCCAGTCCAGAAGCTTGAAAACGTCTTCCAATGCAGCGGTGAAGAGTTTCGGGGATATGACGTCACCCTGTCTTACACCTCTCTGCAATTGGATAGGTTTCGTACTCTGATTCTGTACTCGGATAGCCATCGTAGCCCTACTGTACAAGCACTTCAACACTTCGATATACCGACAGTCAACTTGGCACCGCTGAAGGGACTGCAGCACCGCCCAAATTTCGACGGAATCAAAGGCTTTCTCATAGTCCACATACGCCAGACATAGTGGCAAATTGTACTCTTCGGACTTCTGTACAATTTGCCGAAGGGTATGTATGTGGTCTATGGTGCTAAAGCCCTTTCGGAAACCGGCTTGTTCGGGAGGCTGGAAGTCGTCAAGTCTGCGCGCGAGACGATTCGTAATGACTACCAGTATAAATCTTAATTATTCATGGTATGTGCAAAACATCCTTGTTGCATTTGTTAATTCGTGCTACGTGTGGATAACAGGAAATTCATACTGTCAAACAGGTTAATGTTCAGGAATGCTACGCTTACTTACCGTCTTGATAAGGACTTGAAGATATTTAAAAAATACCTGTGGTTTCGGTTTAAAAAATTCCATCGCACTATTACGTCAAGTCGATCGTAAAAGAAGGCTAAGAACTGTCATAAAGATCTCAGCCACTATTAAATGATATAATCATCTCATATTATATATCAGATCATGTGTTAAAACCGATGTGACCAAAGTGCTAAGGGGCTGCAATTATAAATCCGCCAAACAATTGTGAGGTACATCATTTTCATGAAATGATATATATCATTTTCATGACATGATATATATCATTTTCAACACATGATATATATCATTTCATGAAAATGATATATATCAGATCATGTGTTAAAACCGATGTGACCAAAGTGCTAAGGGGCTGCAATTATAAATCCGCCAAACAATTGTGAGGTACATCATTTTCATGAAATGATATATATCATTTTCATGACATGATATATATCATTTTCATGACATGATATATATCATTTCATGAAAATGATATATATCAGATCATGTGTTAAAACCAATGAGACCAAAGTGCTAAGGACTGCAATTATAAATCCGCCAAACAATTGTGAGGTGACTTTGTTTTGGAGTGGACTTTTGCAAACTAAAGACTAAATTTAAAATCTTTCTTAATACTTAGTGAATTATTTAACTTGCAAGTGTTTAAATTTAAATTTTATTTAAAATTGATTTATTTCCAACAGATTCAAATACAAAGATGAATATGAAAAGTTCAAGTTGATTCTTAGTGCAATTGCGTTTGTATTGGCTGTTGCAAATCTTTATATAGACTTCAGGTAATTAATGACTACTTCATTTTTACTGTTGATTTTATAACCTTTTAAGAAAATTAAGTGCCTATTTTAAGTGACTATTGTATGCTGTAAGTCTTAAATGTCGGTTTATCAGCTTTTTCTTTATTCACATAATATAATGTTCCGATAAAAAAATAATTATGAGACCTGTGTTTTATACTATATGTAAAGTAAATTATAAAAGCCCAGTTATTATATTAACTACTAAATTTAAATATTGTTAAGTACTAAAATTACATGTTTACCAGAATGTGCTTCAACAAAACTTCGTCTTTTTGCTAGTACTGATATTATTATCGTAAATGCAACCTGTGATACCCTGGAGATGAATTTGAAACCTTCAAATCATTACCATACACCTGAGTCAGTCTGGTAAAAATATAGCAAATCCAAAAGGTATTGAAAGTTATCACTTGAAAGTGTTTTAATATTCTCTATTTTTGAAATGTGAAAAATTATTTGCAAAGTTCCTCATAGATATATGAAAATTAATATGTCTGTACATATCATAGCTTGTGTTCAGCAATGTTTTTTATTTAAGCGCAATTTAATTTATTAATTACCGCGCTTAGATTATATAAATAAAATATCCAGATTCCGTGTTCAATACAAAACGTAACATTTATCGTTAAGCCAATTTTTATACGTGTGTGAGTGAACGCCACGCTCTCGAGTATATTACGTATCGCATTTGCGTTTGTGCAAACTCAATACGCGTGTAATGCCAACGGCTCAGAATTACCCCAAAAATATGGGAGATTTTAAATATTTTAAATTTAGTGTAAAGGATAATTTTCATAGCAACCGCGATGTTTTGACCATCCATTACTAAATTTAAACAGCTCCGTGTTGGATAAACATTCTCGTTATTGCTACAGTTTTCACGGTCTAATAACTTCAGTGTCTGTTATTTTATGAGGCTCTTTTGTACCGATGTTCTAACTTTTCTTTTTTACTAAGCGTTTGAAAAGTTCAATGAATCTTACAAGATTTTTATTTCAGCTCATATTTTAGAATTTTAAAAAAGTTTTGAAATAAAGCGTTTAGTGCAACGGTGTGTGTTCGTGATAAAATAAAGACTAAGCTGATTGGAGATTATTTTTATAATCTATGAGAGATTTAGTTGCCGACTAAGCTTTAATCATTTTAATTTAAATCCGGTCAGATAAAGAGAACTTTAGCATCATATACAATGGGTAGTAGCAGTAAAGCAGGAGCTGGAGGTAATTTTTTCAAGGATTAGTTTCTAAGCAAAAGAAGTGGGCTGAACATTGGACGTTTCTGGTTTAGGTTTCCCACAAAGTAACCGTTAATGCTACTAAAATACGATCCACGTCTCAAAAAAATACTTACAAACTATAAAAACCGCATTTAAATCGGTTCAGTGCGTAGAGAGCAAGCTAAAAAAAACAAAAAGAAAATTAAAAACAAACTAACACTTACAAAAACAATCATCGTTCATATTAATAAAACTCTTTAAGTCATACGTCGTTTCTTTTTCGAGATATTTTAAAAAGCTAAAAATATGGGTAAATAGATTTCATGCCCTTGGCAACACTCAATAGTTGTGGCTTCACATTAATGTCAAATTCTTATTTTTTCGTTTTCATATTTAAAAGTCGGTAACAAAGAAATACAAAGTGATATGAATGAAATTACTTAGTAAATAACATGTAAAGGCACTTTTTTTAAGTGTCATTCTTACACGATTTCACAGCACAAACTGTCATTTTTTCAAAGTCAAACCACTGACTGGTGACGTGTTTAAGCGGGGAACGTTCCTCGGCGTGTGACGCGGGGATCGAACGAAGTAGGACTGCAAAAATCAGGCAAAAATGGTTTTGACCGGTTATGACTTTTGACTGTAACATGAATGAAAGGATATGTATACCAATTTTTATGGTGATCAATCAAATATATTTTGAATTAAACGATTTCATATATACAAACATCCCCTTTTATATGTATAGAATAATTATTTTCTGCTTCGCAGAGCACTATCCACACATATTGTGTACTATTAATTTTTCTATTTTATTCTCATATTTTTAAAACCAAGAATTAACAATTCATTAGGGATTTGAAAAATGAAAATCTATTTAAAGTAGTATTGTGGCTTTACAATCGTATGACCTATGTCTTTTTCAGGCCACTGCAATTAATTTTGATTTTCCTGCTGGTTTGGTATTATTGCACACTGACAATCCGGGAAAGCATTCTTAAGGTTAACGGATCGAGAATCAAGGGTTGGTGGCGTCTACATCACTTTATATCCACGGTTGTGGCGGGTATATTACTTATTTGGCCACAAAATGAACCATGGGAAGAATTCAGACATACCTTTATGTGGTTTATTGCGTATATTAGTAAGTATTTTTATGAAGCTATTCCACATATGCCAGTGAAACTACAATTCTGTTGAATCAATGAATTGGATCCTTAATAATTATGTAATTATAGTTTTGTCTGTGGTTAATTAGGTCAATTCTTAAAATTAATATTCAAGTTAGTTGTTTGTTAAATTAATTTAAAATTTGTTGATTGTTTTTGAAATTGAGTCTCAAATTTCATCAGTTTGTTAAAGTACCTTGAAGTACAAATGAAGTTCGCGTCTTAATAATAATGCTTTTTATAAGTTGAAGATTTACTTTCGTCTAATATACTTTCAGTTGAAATATATTTGCTTTAAATAATTGTTTCACAGGCGTAGTTCAATACATGCAGTTCAGATATCAAAGCGGAGTATTGTACAGGCTGAAGGCATTAGGTGCGAGGCATAACATGGACATTACGATTGAGGGTTTCCACTCGTGGATGTGGCGGGGACTGTCATATCTGCTGCCGTTCCTTTTCGGCGGATACATTTTCCAGCTCTATATCGCTTACACTTTGTGTCATATTAGCTATCACCCCGAGGCTACATGGCAGGTTTGTAAACTTTTTTTTTACTAATAGTTAGTTTATTGAATATGTAGCTGTTTCTTTAAAACTAATTTCTATTTACAAATGGTATGTGTCGGACAGGACATACAGAGACATGTGGAGTACCTTAAAAAATTTAATTCATCACAAATCATAAAAATTATATTATTTTAGGCATAATGTATGCAAAAGGTGGCTGAAAGTTTTATATTGTTGGAAAATCCTGCTAGTGGTTACTGACTAAAGTCATGATGAATTATTATTCTATTAGTATTATTTTATTTTAAAGTATTATTTTCAGCCTTATTTAAAAGACATAAAGTTCATTTCATGAAGAATGAATTATTCTAGTTACTAGTTGTTATTTTTAACATTTTAAGCTACATCTTTAATTATTATTAAGGTGCCATCTGTATTAAGTCTTGAGTTAAAGGCAATTTAGGATATGTTGGGAAATTTTCAATAAAGTTCCTATTATTTATTTTTAACAAATAAAATGATAAGTACAGTTTTAATTTCTTTAAGTGATCAGTTCTGGGACTACTAACAATTATTGTTAGAAACAGAAACAGAAACTTTTTTATTCAATATAGATTATAAATAATACTTATTGAAAGTCAATTTATATAACATAACATAACATAACATAAACACTCACGCCTGTCACCCAGAGGGGTAGGCAGAGATTATGGACTTCCATTTGGCACGATCCTGACACACCTCTCTCGCTTCCTCCACATCCATATACCTACGCATACACGCTCGTCGGTTAAAGGTACTCTTGATTTGGCCCATTTTTAATATATCGCCAATTTGGTCGATAAACTTTCGCCTAGGGCGACCCTTCCCGACTATGCCGTTCACCTCTGCAACATAAATTTGCTTTGTCACTCTTTCCTCATTCATTCTTTCTACATGGCCAAACCACCGAAGCATTCCTTTCTTAATCCTGGTCACAACATCATCTTGCAAACCACACTCTTCTCTTATTAAACAATTTCTCACTCTGTCATTCAGCTTCATCCCTAACATACTCCTTAATGACCGCATTTCTACAGCATTTATTCTACTCTCATGCTTCTTCTGCCACACCCAACTTTCACTACCATACATTAAAGTAGGTACTAACACAGCATTGTGAATTGCCATACGTGCCTTTTTGGACACATTCTGACTTTTCACAATAGAGTGTAGAGCCCCATTCACTCTATTTCCTGCATTCACTCGTCGTTCTATATCCTTATCATATCTACCATCCCTGCTAAACACACATCCCAAATATACAAACTCATCTACTTGCTCTACCAACTCCCCTTCTATTCTTATTTCACATATCGTTTTACTTTCTTCTCTTTCAAAAACCATAACTTTCGTCTTACTTGCGTTCACTTTCATTCCCTTTTCTTTTAATGTCCTGTTCATTAATGTAACCATCATTTGCAACTCGGCTGCCGACGACGCAAGTATGACTTGATCATCGGCGTACAAAAGGCATTTGACGGTTAACTCACCCATTCTTAACCCGCATTCTTCTACTTTCAAATTTTCCAAACAACTGTCCATAAATAGGTTGAACAACCACGGGGAAGCCACACAGCCCTGTCTGACACCTTTATGGATGTCAAACCAGTCCGAGTAGGCCCCGTTGATCCTGACACAAGCACTAGAGTCCCTATATAGAGACTTCAATGCCTGTATCAGACCAGCGCTCAACCCAAATGAGTTCAGTGTTTGCCATAACACATCCCTGTCCACTCTGTCATAAGCCTTCTCCAAGTCCATGAACGCACAAAAAACTTTTTGGTTTTTGGTCAAAAACTTCTCGGCGATCATGCGCATGGAAAAGACCTGATCCGTACATCCCATTCCCTTTCTAAATCCCGCTTGCACATCCCAAATTTTTCCGTCAGTTTCTTTCATAATTCTTTCAATTAGTACCTTAGCATACAGTTTTCCCACAATGCTAAGAAGGCTGATACCACGGTAGTTTTTACAGTCCTGCTGTGATCCTTTTCCCTTATATATTGGGACTATCACGGCTTTGCACCAGTCTCCCGGTACCCGCTTAAGTTCCCAACATAAATTAAACAAGGTGTACAGCAGGTCTGCCACCACTCCTTCTCCAGCCCTTAGCATTTCGAGAGATACTCTATCATAACCAGCTGCCTTACCTACTTTCATACTTTTCATTGCTTTCATTATTTCATCTATACTTATATCTCTATCTATTTCCTCTTCTTTCGGAATTTCTATTTCATTTAATTCAAACGTCTCATCACTCATAAACACGCTTTCAAAGTATTCCTTCCATCTCCTTAAACTCAAAACTTCGTCATTCAGAATACAGCCATTCTGGTCTCGTATAGCATTCATTCTAGGCTGTTGTGAATGTCCCCTGGTAGTTCTTACGAGTTTCCAGAACATTTTAATGTTTTCCTGGAAGTTATCCGATATTCTTCTATCATTCTTATCCGTTCTTTCTTGCTTTTTCCTTTCAACTACTTCTTTTACTCTCTTATTTAGGTGTCTAAAAACCGCCTTTTTCCTTTCAATATCATCATTCATACTGCTAGAATTACTAGCCTTGGTTGCTAGTAAATCTAGCCATGCTTTCTTCTTTGCTTCAACTTCCATCCGTACCTCATCATCCCACCATAACGTGTTATTTTTCCTTTCATTCGTTCTCTTGCTTACACCACATACTTCGGTAGCTGCATCCACTAAACCTTTCTTGACATTATACCACACAGTCTCCAAGTCTGAATCATTCATACACAATTCAGCCATACCACTTATATTTTCTCTCAATCTACATTTGAACTTCTCTTTCACACCTTCATCTTGTAACCTCTCTGTTCTTATACGCTGTAACGCTGTGGTAGACACAGATGTCCGATGCCTCCAACGTCTGAAAAGACCATTAATTCGGCATAATACCAAGTAATGATCCGTCCCTACGTTAGAGCCCCGGTAAACCCTTGTATCTACCACCGCGCTCCTCATTCTTTCATCAACAATTATGAAATCTATCATACTTCTATCATCACTTCTTTCCCATGTATACGTGTGAATCTTCTTATGACGAAAGAAAGTGTTCGTCACAACAAGATTCTTTTCCACGCATACGGCGAGAAGGCTTTCACAACTTTTCAAACGTTCCAAATATCCTTTCATAACCAAGCCTCCTCACCCCAACCCTTCCATTAAAATCGCCTAATATCACAATATTTTCATTAACCTTGCATTTCATTAGCACCATCCTTACCAACTCCCAAAACTGCTCTCGGATATAAGTGGGCTTAGACATGTCTGGGGCGTAGACCCCTAAAACAAACAACTTCTTTAAGCCCACTTTCATTCGTATCCATAGCAGTCTCGGGCTTACACATTCATACTCTTTTACACAATGACCCATTCTTTCTGAAAGGATGATACCGACTCCCTGGCATGCCCGCTCGGTCTCGTCTACACCAGACCAGTACGCGGTATACATGCCATGTGTAGTGGCATCCTTTCCCTTTCGTTTCGTCTCATTCACACATAACACGTCTATTCCTCTATCATACATCATATTGCATACTTCATCCATCTTATCATTCATTCCTCCACATACGTTCAATGCAGCCAGAATTTATATATTTTAGTTTAATTTCGTAATGAATATCTGAACGCTCTCTATGCGACTTTTATTTTATAACTCTAAATATACATAACACATGTCTGTGTGCAAAACAAACAACAGGTGCCAGCTTTAAGCATATCGTTCCTGATGATTGGAATTGGCAACACAGCTACCACACTCATGGTGATACCACAGAAACTCAACGAGCAGGTAACGGTGTAACAAGAGTTACCTGTACATGAAACGCATGTATTAGTAGCGTAGTTAGCAAGCTATTATTTTTTATAGAACAAATGTAGTAACACTGAAAGTTTATCGAATTAAACCTGTTAATTTTAGATTTCATTTTTGTCTTCTTTATAGACTTTTTAGCATAATCCAAAAATTTTATAGATTTGCTATAGCTTACCTGAAAGGCGGTTTAGCGACTATTATACCAGCCGCCATTTTACTTGCACTTCTAAGATCTCACATTTTGATTGACTCTCGAATCGTGCGGTAGTAGCGAAGGTCTAGTTTCGAGGTGTCAAACTTTCAGTGCTACTTGATACTTATGCAGCTTTTTGTGTGTATCTAATATAAAAAATAAACAAATATCTGTATTACAAGATTACAATTTTTCTTCGAGTAAGAAAATTATTGTTTTATTAAGTTACTCGTTCACGAAAAACAATATTATGTATTTATTATTGTGCCCTTCTTATTAAAAACATTTCATTGATAGTGTCGGATTTAAACTATGCTTTAAGGTGACACTAGTCGACATTATTTCCATAGAAATTTCGGAGGGGTTTTACTCCGCTGTTTGACAGTGTACATCCAAAATTAAACATGATATCGTTTTGTCTCATTATTAAATTTGTCTGTACGGAAACAGAATAGTAAAATAAAATGTTATTAAAAAGTTACGAGCTACCAAAGATTCGTTTTTATTGCCAATTTTAACACAACTTTGGGCGTAAATTAGTAATAAAAGAAGTGTAAAATTTCCAAAACAAGATCGGTACCGACACAGCTCAATTATCGAAGAATTCAATAATTTTTTTTTGTAATTGATTAATGCAGTGGTTTTTTCATAAAACCCCTTCTTCCAAAGGCCTTTTCGTATTTTTTTACGCGCGCATGTTACTATGAATTATCGTGCATCTCACTGAATAATGTCTCCCCCGGTGCGGTGCGGGAGGACGATACTTACACACACATGCACAGGCGGTGACGCGCACTTATATTAGAGTTTTATTCAAAACGAAAAGTTTTGCTATTTTGTAATTTGGACGCCAAAGACAAAAGACGGCATGGAAATTGATATAATTGAAAGAGAATGCGTTTTGGACGACTGACAATATTTTAAAATTTTCGTCTGTAATATAATATAATTATTAAAGTAAAAAAAGTGAAGTCTATATTCGATTACTATATAAAACTGCAACAATTTCATTGGTGCCGTGCCGACGGGGATCGAACCCGGGTTGCTCGCGTAATGTGATACTTACAGCGAGCGCTAACCATCTGAGCTACCACGGCTCTCAATGCAAATGTTATAAATAAATAAAGAATTACAAAACAGTTTAATTATTTATTAGACGACTTTTGCGGCGGACAAACAAAGCATATTATGTGGGATTTTCATTGGTACCTACTGTTATTACCTACATACCTACAACCTACAATACAACAAAATGTCACAAAACGTCGCCGCGTCGTGGCCACAAAATTGTAAACTTTAGGTAGGTACGTCAGTACTAAGAAAACCATCTTGATGGGTCACTTGTCTTGATAAAAACCTGTGCTTACGTTTAGTAATATTGAGTATATATAAAAAATTAAGAAGATAGGTAAGTAAGTATTTTTGAAATAGGTTATAGTCTGCAATTTTAAAAAAAAAACGTTACCCCCACACTAGGATTTCCTCCTGTATCGTGGAAGCAGTTTACAAACATCCAGACCCGGAACAATTATTTGTAGACCATACAAATACTTGTTCGATTGATTCGAACCCGCGGCTCCCAGTACAACAATTCATTGCTAAGCCATTGCGCCACGGAGCTGTCAATTAACATATATATTTTTTTTATTATATTAGGTATATGGAGCCACAGAGGTATAATATGAAGCGATAAAGCAGCACCTAATAATTTCGCGGTTTCACCCGCGTTATGACGTGTCCGAGATGCGTGGCATGACATGACACCTAGTTCAAGCATTTTATAATTGCAATCAAATATTTTATTTGATAGTAATGTATGGAAAAATTGTCATGATTAATGGAGTACTTTTATTTTATCTGTCGGCATACTATGCGCGGTTTTATCCACTTTTAAAGAAAAACGTACACGATACATGAAAAGTGTGTAGGCAAGAAATGATTCTTGATAAATTTGCTATCAACCTCTTATACTTATTAATCAATTAAATTTAAACTTTCAAAATACCATAGCAACGTGAAATGAAAAAGTTCAGAAATAAAGATGTAACTAATCATTGCTACGCTCACCCGGGAGATAGATAAAATTACTCAATTAATTTTGAATTTATTTTAGCTACTAGCTGTTCCCCGCGACTTCGTCCGCGTTTAGTTTAGGGCGTTAATTTTCTTGCAAAGACACCTAATAATTTTTCTAAAATTTAAGCAGTCTAAGTTACTTCTTATAACATAAGCTATCTACTAGTGAAAGTCCCGTCAAAATCGGTCCAGCCGTTTTGGAAATTAACCGGAACAAACAGACTGACAGACATACAAAAATGTTAAAAATTGTGTTAATGTTATAAGTACCGTATACAGTTTCATACGCAATTAGTAAAAAGCTGTTATTTTGACATTACAAACAGACACTTCAATTTTATTTATTTGTGTAGATATAGATAACGATTGAACTAACGGCTAACCTAACCTCGGTCATAGAAGCTTTCAATACTGGCTTCTCAGTTCGCACCGGGCTAGGGGTTATGCGTTGTTTGCGCGTCAAGCCAAGTAAGTAGGTATTGAATTATTTTAATTTTACATTATCTCTTAAACTATGTACTATATAAACATGGTATAAAGAACGAAGTTTATCTTCATAAAATTGTCTTGATAATGAAGTAACTTTCGTTCGAAGGTGCCTAATTATTAAATTTTCATTTTTTTTTTACAAATTGCCTAATTGTGGCTTATATATAAGAAATAGACAAATGGTATCGCGGACTTTTTTTAGACGGAGTAAAGATCTATATTTTTCTAGAACATTGTATTTACGTATCCCGAACCGTAACAGCACTTTTTCTTCTGACTTCCTTAACAAATATAGGCTAGCTGAGATATATATCCTATACTATTCAACATGAATCTGGCTATAATATCCAAAACAAGGTTTTTCAAATCGGTCTGGTAGTTCCAGAGATCAAACAAAAACACTCTTCTGCTTTATTATATTAGAATAGATGTTGCACCGTGTTCGTGTAACTTCGTTTTTATTCTAACGGTTCGGAACGCCGTACGAACAAGACATGCGTGAATACTAGTGTCGATATGCTCATCACTGATACTATCTCTGTCGGGCACGATGTCAGGTGAGACAGCGTGCTTTTTGGCCGCGCCCACCAGCGAGTTCGAGCCCGCGACTTGTGCCACCTTAAGAATATCGTTTTCAGCCGCGGCACTAGTCTTTGCGAAATTTGACATTTGCTGTCAAATTCCATTAACACCCGTGCGTTTGAAGAATGGGAATGAAAATGGCCGCTACTATTCACCTCTCGCTCGCACACTGTCACTATCTATATTCACATCCGCCGGTAAAGACTGCAAAAAAAAACTACGTTGCGATATGCGTTCTATAACTTCAGTCCAACTTGTCATTGGAATCAATGATAACGAAATGCCATAAACTACAAAAAATAATTCAGTCTGGTTTCGCTAATTTGTGAGGTATCGACGCGTTTGGAGTTTTCTTTATAATTATTGTTAATTTTTTTGTTAATATTTTTGTATAAAATATTTGCATGCTATCGAGACATGAGTAACCATTTTTAAAATTTTCGTTTGTCTGTCTGTCCGAGCTAATCTTCGGAATAGCTCAAACCGATTGTAGTAAAATTTTACGAACAAATTGAAAGTAATACCAGTAGTGATCAAGACTAAATTTTATCCGATTTATTTTTTAATTTTATTACAATCTAGATATTGTTAAGATAAAATAGATGGTCTTTAATGTTTATCTTAGTTTAAATCAAGTATAAATAACGCTACATTTATACATCCTTCCACCCATGCGAAGTCAGAGCTGGTCGCTAAAATAACATAATTTTAAAATAATGTACCTATTTGAGTATACAATTCTTTTCAAATATTTTCCCATTAATAGAACATTACCAATTATCCGAATAATATAACGTTATAACGATATACCGCTATAAGCGAGTTTTCGCTATTGGTGCTTGTGCATGTTGACGGTACGGACTCGATGAGCCGTCATTTTTAATCCCATTCTTTATACGTACGGACTGTATCATTACATTTCAGTTCACTTTCCGCGGGATTTCTTTTGTGAAACAGATTTTAGTTTAAACCTGAGACTAACTTAATATAAACTGCTTTTTGTAATAAGGCCGTAGTATGTGAATTTACTTTTATCACCCTTCTATTAAGTTTAAAAATTTGTATATTAGAATCGTATCGTCGTAAATAACAAGTGCTTTTACCGACATTTTAAATAAGAACTGAATTTTTGGATTTCTTATAACCTCCCCACATTTACAACATGAAACAATATTTCTCATATCAATGAAGCTTATAATATGGCGGGTGATTCCTTTGTCAATTCTTAAATTTCATGTCTATTGCTTTAGTTTGTAGTGTTTGTAATGTATAAACTCGAATGCATTTTGTCGAATATACCGTAATTATATGGACCAACTATTTTGCCGTAGTTAGTAGTTTGCTTAGATTATTGTGCATATTTGGAGCATGTCTTTTTTATTTAATGTTCATAATATAAGTTATTATTGTTACCTCAATTTTTTTTTAAGACTAGCGCTGGTTGCACACTTAGTAACATGCTCTTTTATACTTAGAAATAGCTCATGTATCGAATAATGTAGATGTAACAATGGAGTGGATCACCGGAATCAAGGCCACAGAGACATCAATACCGAGTTTAAAAATTGTGTATGTATATGTTATCCATTCATCTGTTCAAAAGTTATTTAAAGTTTTGTCAAATTTGAGTAGATATCAAATTTTAAGGTAAACTTAATTAACATTCCTAAACTATGAGGTTAATGATACATTATTTAAGATTAATTAATATTGGGTCTTACATATACCTTACTTATCGTTTTAATACACTTTTCCCATTCATTACTCCGCTTTAATTCTGTAATAAACTAATGAAAGATACATAAATAAACTTCTAAATTTCATCTCTACTATTATTATATTATTTTCCGAATCTACTTTCATCGATATACATATTTTAATTTTTCTATTTTTAATCTAATTAATATAAAACATAACCAATATTTCATAAAGAAACATTGATCTCTACATTTTTTTATCAAATTTACTTCCCTTCCCTTCCGTAATACGGTCAAATATTACAGCTCTTTCTATAGTGGCGCCGCTTTAGTAGCAGAAAAAGCCGTGGACCATTCTATCAAAACTGAATAAATTTTGAACTGGTGAAAGTTGCAGAACAAACTTGCGGGTCAAATGAATAGATGTTAAAGGTCTGTCTGCTTTGAATGAATCCACTTCCCTGGCTACACTCAATGACTATAAAATTTTTAATTATATGTAAAATTGTGTGTACTTTGAAATAAAAAAAAATGTTTTCTTTGTTTTTTTCATTCATACATATCAACATTTAAAAAAAAATCTTTATAATTATTAATGAATCTCTACACAGATGCTTACATTTACCAATCTGATACAATTTCCTAGATATATTTATGTTACAAATCAACATAAGTGTACATATAAAGAATTTCTGTAAGAAATATGTACCACTAAGCTTTTTTTTTATATTTGCATAATCTAATATATTAGAACTATTCAGCTATACTTTATTCTGTATTAACTATTGGATTTGAAGTGTTAGTCCAATATTTATTCAAATTTGTAAGAAAATTTTAATAAGTATTGCCCAGGTATCCTCATAATCGATGTGATTTCATTTAAAACATAAACGTAAGTGCAAACTCAAATTCATATTACCTACATCAAAATATTTTTTGCTGTCGTTTAGAGCATTATTAAGTTTAGAGCCGAAAAATGTAATTAATGTTTTCATTTAATAAGTACATACATATTTTCATTTGATTAGCTTAAGGGCTTGCATAGAACTAAAAGACTAAAAACGCAACAAATTACAGGGCATTGAATAAAATTATTAAAATAATATCATATAATATATTCATATCTATTGGCGTTGCTAAATGATATTTGAAATATTTTAATTTAGATTTTATTATTGGACATTGAATCCATGTCATTGAAGATGTTTTAAAATTTATATCTATAAAAATTAAAAATTAGGTAAAATAAAAATTGTGCATGGTACTGAAAACCATTTAAGTTTATAATAACCCATTCTAGAAAACAAAATATTTCAACAATTTTTTTATGTAATTTGAAGAATAATGTTTTGAAACAAAATAATTTCGAATGACTTAATGTCCCAAAAACTAATAAAAGGAGTTGAATATGTAGTTACTTTTTTCATATGTATTTTAATACATATAGCGTGGACACCATACAAGTACTAAACTCATCAAGATACAGATGTAGATATTTACTGTAATTGTATCAGAATCCATTTAAGAATAAATAAATAATATACATAATATGTTCTTTTACTATAAAAGTAATACTATTTTTATTTCTAACTAGTCATTGTGTATGTCACTTAAGTACTAATATGCCTTTATTAAATACTGCAAATTATAAATATTCGTCTTGTTAGATGCTACTTGTTTATTACAAAGCTTGAGTGTGATGGTCATTTGAAAAGTATTAACAATTGCTGTTCAATGTCAATTTTTTTTGCGTAAAATGGTATGATTGATAGATGATGTACTTACGACTTGTATTTATAATTGTGTGTAAGATTCCGTGTACTGTTATTAAATTATATTAATAAATTTGTTTTTTAGTTGCAGATTTTTTTCTTGCTTAATATAACTTAGCTATTTTAGTTTCTTTTGCGACGTTCGACAGGTTTCATACCTGGCTGCTTTGTTTCTTGTGCTGCACTGTTGCAACATGTACACAATACTTCAGACACTGAAAAAGAAAATGCAAGGCGGCTTGAAACTACGCTACAAATTGCGCGCGATCGCGTACCGGCTGTCCAATGAAATTGCTGTTTTGGTACGTGTTTCTAACTTTGATTATAGTATTGGCATAGGTATCGCTAGGTTAGGTAAACTATTGCGGCATATTAAAAAAGGTGAAGTAAATAGCTACAGGTGTTCTAAAATATTATACATAGTTTGTTTAACAATTGCATTACAATTCTATGATACATTGCATAGATACTTAAAGTTAACGAATATTTAAGATACGAAGTGAAATTTTTACAACAATCAAACCTACGTTACAGAAATATGCTGTGAATACAGAAACTTAAAAATAGGGAATGGTAATCTGTACGGAATTATAGAGGGTTGTTCCTACATTACTAAATAAAAAATAGCTATAGTAAAGGCAATTTATTGCGATTTTTTAACAATTCATATTAATTATTAATTTCACGCTTAGGAAAAAGTAAAAAATACGGGTTTTTGTTTGTTGTTTTGCCGCTTAAAAATTGGACGAATACGTCAGCTTTCCCGATTAGGTTGCTGCTGTATCCGGAATTCACATTCGGAAGAGACACCAAATCCAAAAAAACAAAGTAGTCTTATTATGAAGTCATGTTTTGTCTCTTTCAGCCGCGGAAGCAAGAAATTATTTTTTTTTCTGAATGTGTATACTGTTGGCCCTGCGGCCTTGACGACAGCTTCATCTGATTAGGTTCGTAAGTGAGTACTTACGAACTATTGAGTGCAACGATTCTGCCGTCCGAATCCGAAATCTGCCGGACTGCAGTCCCGAGGCACCCCGACCCCTGCTTTCGGAGTGGGGCTCCTCGAGCTAGGGGGGGGGGGGGCTCGATGCGATTCAAGGGCCCCTCAGAAGGAGGTACGAACCTCGGCTTGAATCGCTATCGCAATAGCAAGAAATTGAAAAACACTAACCAAGTACTAAGCTGTATAATATGAAGCTGTGACTACTATTCCGAGATTAAATTAAAAATAATATCGTTAAAAAAGTACTATTATATAAACATAAGTCTGTTCATTTTAGATTGATTTATGGTTATGGCACTTGCTTTTGAATTCGGCTGAAAATAGGTTATTTTTTTTCACTAAAAGAAATTTCGATAGATGAGCTGTAGCAAAATAATAGCTAGAATTTCAATTTTCTTTGAGTTGTATATTCCCTATATATATGCAAACTTAGTGTCGTATGTATGTATGTTTAGGTATATAAAATTCGACGCCAGATTAGTACCAATGTATTAGTTATTGAAAGCAATATTTTATTTTGGTAATAAATTTATCAGGAATTGAGAATTTTGAAATTGAGAGAACACGATTGATTGAAAATGAATTTATTGGAAATCTAATTGTCGAATTTTAGCATTTTTATTTAGTTACGATGTAGACGATGCAGTTAATTAAAGATGATTTGCATTTAAGCTTTAAATGTATTTAATTAATAGATAGCTATTATGCAGACTTATAGGAATGTTACTTTAGTATAAACGGAATTTGGTTGAATAGACCAAACTAAAAGGTCGGTCTATATGCTACAGTTAGAACTTTTTCTCATTCAATACTACTTTTGACCGACGAAAGCAGTCAAAAGTGCGTTAGACAGCAGGCTTCGTTCAAAAGTATTTTTGATTGGAGTTTCGATCAAAAACTAGTTTTGACCGTACTCGCAGCTTGCAGTCAAAAGCGGTTTTTTTACCGGCCAAACTCTATTTTAGGGCAAACCCTTTTTTTCTAGAATAGATTTTCCGCGCCCAACAGAACCAATTTAATACCTGCGGCTTTGAGGTGACCCACACCTTAACTTACAGTCGCTGATAATTTAAAAATAATATCAGCGATAATAGGTCGAAGTCACCCCCCACCCCCGTCAAAACTATATAGGTGGTTTTGACTTCTAAGTTTTGTAAGTAAGACTTATTTAATAGTTACCTTAAAAAAATCTTGGTTTTTCCATTTCGCTTGTTAAAGTACATAACTATTCTAGTACTCGAACATAAACTATAATGTTTATCAAGTAACTGACTTGATAGTTTGAGGCGTTAATCGGAATGATTAGTAAATTATTTAAAAAACAAAAATCCAAATGCATGTAGTCTGTAATTCACCGTAACGTATTTGTTCTCTGTGGAGTGACATATTGGTATTTATTACCATTTAAAATCAAAATTAAAAAAGCGAAAACCGACCTTAAATAATCAAATAAAAAGTAAGAAAATAAAAGAGTACAATAATTTCCACATAATTTAATAGTTCCTGAAGTCAGTTCTAAAACAAAGTGTATCGAAGAATTAAGCCAGAGCTTGAAAATCGGATTTAAGTAGTAAAGTAGACGAAAATTCAAATAACTTTTTAGATATTTATCATTCTTGTTCTTAAATTATTTTTCAAGCAGAAAACAAAACGAAATTAAAGGAAAATTTATTTTACCTCCATAATGTACTGTGACGCATTGTTAAAAAAATTCTGCCCTTATTCAAAGACCTTAAACGATTACAGATATTATTTATAATCGCTGAAAAAAACACGTTCAAATTTCGTACTAGTAGATGGAACTTTTTATTAGCCTTCATGGTGTCGTGTTTGATGATGATGATTTACAAAACAATGCCTCAGTGGTGTTTTTCACATTTAACCCTCTTTTTTTCTAATTTTGGGTATATGTGTAGTTTGATTTGTTCATTTATCTAATTAATATAATCTACTAGCTGATCGCGGCGCGTTGGCTGCCACAGAAGAAATAATTGTGGAAATATCGTTTTAAATTTTGAAGTTGTATTGTTTAATTAGGAATGATAATCCATTCATTGAAGTTGAATATTATATAACATTCAAATTAATTTATCGGTAGGATACGCGCCCCCACATAGTGTAGATTAATTGTACTATGCCTATAACCTTCTCGCAAGTGCAAGCAATAAGTTGACAAAGTTTTAGCGCAATCTGGTGGTCGGTATGGCAGCGCATAAAATACGAACAAACAAAAATTATTTTTTATATATATAAAATATAACCTATATTACTGAAAGAAACATTAACCCTTACATTAAATTCTCCGCCACATAAATTGTCAAATATTTGGTTGGTGGCAAAGTCGTCGATACCTTCATTATCTATATTTATACAAATAAAGAAAATGGAAGTGTCTGTTTGTAATGTCAAAATAACAGCTATTTACTAAATACATATGAAAGTATATACGGTACTTATAACAAAAACACAATTTTTTAAATTTTTGTCTGTGTCGCCCGTTTGTTCCGTGGGTTCCGCGCAAAAAAATTAAAACATGAAATCCAATCGTAATAATAATAATAAATCGCACGCGGGCGAAGTCGCGAGGAACAGCTAGTATATAATAAAAAACTGCACACTCATAACAAAATACAGTTGAATTGAGATTTTTATTCTTTTGTGTAGCCAATTAAAAATATTAATGATTATCAATCACTCGGAGAAATCAAGACGAATTTCATTTAATTTAACAAATAATAGTATAAGTTTAAATAAATAGAAACAACACGCATTGCTCATGAGCTGTGATGATCCTGATAATTACTTTATTGATCTTGAACAGGATACTAGGGTAAAGTTATTAAATTATTGCATTGCAAATTTTCAAGTCACTGAAGCGTCTACAAGTTGGTGAAGATTACATTAAAAATTCTGTTACATAGATAGATACATGCGAAGCTAATTAAAGCGTGTTAACATATGCAAACTGTAATTAACGACGCCTAAAATTTAGTAATTGCAAGATAAAAACGTTCCAGCAATAAGATAAGCATGTGCAAATTTATAATGTTCGTTTTCTTTATCTACATCATACAATACAGACTATCGCCAGCCGCTATAGCCTTTATAAGAACTGCACTTCTCAATTGCACGTATTTATGTAGCTACAATTTGTGACCTCTACTTCGGGTCTTGGTGAAGGTACCGTATAAATAATGGAGTTAGGTAATATTTAAGTACTTAAATAAAATAGTGCTTTGTTTTCTTACTTATCTAATATTTACAGATGGTTTTATGTAGTTTGACTAATAATATGTAATTTGTTTCACTAATTAGTATTCTGTATTGGCATATCAATATTTGTATAATTTTATTTTGCTTCATTTTGCTCACTTTAATTTGCTTTAATAGCCCATAGGTAAGACGACGACTTACGCTGTACTAAATTGATATTTAAAAACAATATTTATTTAATAGTACTTGTTTTATTGTTTTCATGCTTAGTGGTAAATTGATTGTACGAGCTTTTTGAAGGCAAGAATTAATATATACTGAGAATAACATTTTCATTTTATTAACTGCTAAGCCAGGGCTTTGTTATCATTTCACACTAACTGATATTTTGATACGCTTTTATGTAATTTGACTAATATGCAAATCCTCAAACGATACTCAATTTTAAGGTGTCGTTAAGCCTCGTGTTGTCACAGTCACTTTGAATTAAAGTGATAAAGACAGCACGAGAGGTAACGGCATCATAAAATTGAGCAGCTTTTGAATATTTAGGCATAATATAATTAAATAATATTTTGCTCACTTAATTTTAATATCAATAAATATTCAGAGTTAACATTTGTTAAATACCTTGTAATCGAATTATCATAATATAAATTATTCTACTAAATGAACGCCACATACAGTTTTAAGATTCAACAATTCTTAATATTTACAGGAACAAAAATGGCGACAGAATAAGGTGGAGGTGAAATCCGAATAAGATTATTAATTAACCTAAATGTGATTAATAAGTGATAATTGAGTGAATAAAATATCAATGTTTATATGTGTAATATGTAGATCAAGACATTTATATTTTCTTATTACATGGTGTTTGATCGTATTTATGTGTATGTAAATAGCTATTATAATAAATAATAATTAATCATGTTGTCTTCTCATTATTGTACTATTTGTCCATATTTTACTGTGTAAATAATACCTATGAGAATTTTCATGTAAATTTGCTTACTGCACTGAAATAAGAATTTTCATGTAAATTTGCTTACTGCACTGAAATAACAAAACATGGACTCTTACTAATTATTTAATTTCTGGTATCTAATTCGTATTTACATCTAACACTTATGAAATTACAAAAACGCACGCATGTATATATATATACAACCACTTTTTCTAACTTACACATGTAATAGTATTGAAAATTAATGATGTAAAAAATAATTACCTAAACCCAATCAAATCTAAGAAATACCTTTTGACGTTTCATATTAATCATTTCGCAATAACTTTGTAAACGCGTACCCATACAATTTAAAATAACTATACTATATCTACTAATTATGAAGTAATCTATATTTCATTACCACATGATTATTTCTAATTTAAATTTGAATCTTTCAAAAAATGCAAAATAATTAATTTTAACCAGTGTCAACTTTTTTGTCTAACATTGTTTCAATGATATGTCGCTATGTATCAGACCATAGTGTTTCTATGATTAAAATTCATTGTTATGCGAATAATCGAAAAAATATTCAAATTTATTTATATTTTAATTTATTTGTTTATATATTTTTTTATAATTTCCTGTTTCGTCGGCGTAAATTTCTGTAGGCAAAAAAACATATCCAAGACTTAATAAAACACGTAGCGTAATTCCAATCTCTTTGGGAGCTTACTTTTGTGATTTTATGTTTGTCTTCTAATTTTGTGACTTTGCTTTAACTTTTTGAACTGATTCTACTATATTCGTTGACATTGGCAATTTATATACTAGGCTCTGATTAAGCAAGCGATCATAATTTCGAAAAGTGGACGTAATAGTGGTAGTCGCACTTTAGACAGCCAGGCTCGTGCTTTGGTGGCGAAATTACACGAATATTTCGAACGTGAGTCACAAAACGGTGCGCCCCTTTTACATGTGCGGGATCGTGTCGGTGAAGCACGTGGAATTTACAAACGCACCGTGAAAAATACGGGCCTTCAGGCACTGAGAATAATTTACTTCACACGCCGAAAATACGAAAAATTTCAAAATTCAATTCGACGCAGATGCTGTTAGAAACCATGTCTACGGCAATTTTACAAGGGGCGAATATCCTACTACGGCGAAGTTGTAAGAAAGTTTACTAAATTCCGGCTTGTATAATGGTAGTATAGTCGTTTAGAACCATTTTAAAAAGCACGGGCTTCCGGTTCAAAAAAAAATTATAAACTTAAAATAATTATGCTGAGGCATGACATAGTCTTGCAAAGAATAATATTTTTAAGAGAAATGATAAATATAACCAATTGGAACATCATATTCGTTGATAAAACGTGGTTAAACGCCAAGCACACTGTGACGCCAGATATAGACAGATGACACATCAGCAACTTGCGGGAAGGTACCCGTGGGAAAAGGTGAGCGTCTCATAATTTACCATGCGGGATCTCCCGAAGTAGCATTTGTAGAAAATTGTTTATTAGCCTTCCAATCAAAGAGTAGAAGAGAATATCATGAGCAAATAGATGCAATATATTTATTTATTTATTCTTTTTTACATCTACCTTATAATAAGGGATATAAAGGGCGGACTTAATGCCTTGTGGCATTCTCTACCAGTCAACCCTGGATGATTTGAGAAGCTGTGGTAGGTGCAACACCACTCCATAAATTAATAAATAAGTAAAAACATTATATCGTATAAAAAAAGCAAATAAATAAAATATTTTTAAACTATACAAACTTAATATTATCTACTTTGTAATAACGAAAAAAAAATATAAATATATAAACGGATACTTATATATACAAAAACTCTAAATACATATAAAATAATATAACACAAAAATAAAATAACATGATGAGAGAATATTGGTACTGAAAGTTATCCTAAGATAAAAAGGAGAATTTGGGTCATTTAAAATTGAATATAGTACTTGTAAAATTCGGGAGCTACGCCTTTGACGAATACAAAGCCATTTAAGCTTAGAACGGTACATTATTATTGTGCTATTCCTGCGAATAGACCTTTGTAAACCACCGTACAGACCACGTAAACCTTTGTACGTTATTTGCTTCTAGAAATAAGCAGTAAGAAGAAACTGAAAAACGTTGTTTTATATTATCCGTTTTTACATTATTATGGTATTAATCGAAACAAAACTGTAAATGATTACGAACTCTAAAGAAACGATATCTATTTTCTTAACCGTCATAAGGTCTTCGGATCAATTTTGACCCATATTGGTATAAAATGTAATTTTCTCAGAAAATAAGCGTTGAAGGAGTTTGATATTCTATGACTTTTAATTATTCGCTTCAATTTACTTATTATTGGAATAAGTTTATCAAAAATGATTAAAATATTCCACATATGTTTTTTTTTTACTCTAATGGTCTTCGGGTCAGAATTGACCCCAACTAAGTAATAACAAACGCACAGTGCATCTGTTATCCTTCGAATTGTTTTTGTCTAGCATAACTTTTTGAATGAGATGTTCTTTTGTTCTACCCACACAAATCTTAGTGTTATATTATACATCAATTCAACAACACATACCTTATTTTACAGTGGTAAAAACGTTATTTGCTTATAAAAAATGACAGACAATCAAGTAGAAGGGGCGTTATTGGATGAAATGTCGGATAGTAATGAATCTTGCTCAGAAACATAATATTATATTATCGAAGAAGCTGAACCATCTGATAGCTCGTATAGTGACAGTGAATCAGTGATTGTGACTTCAATGACGTCAAAGAATGGACAATACGATATTCCAGAAACCCTGTCACACAGTCTCGTGGCAGTGCTTCCAGAGAAAACATAATAAACTTGACACCAGGATTGACATCCTATTCTTACTCAAGGATCACCTTAGAAGAAAAATCCAGTTTTGATTTATTTTTCTCTCCACCTTTGACACACTATATTAAAATATACGAATTTGGAAGGTAAGCGTGTTTTCGCTGATGATTGGAATGACATACATGATATTGATCGGCTCACATACATTAGCCTACTATTACTATCTGGTGTATTTCATTCAAATAATGAAAGCACCGGAAGTTTGTGGGATAGTGAGAAAGGTAGGCCTATTTTTGGAGCAGTCATGCCAAAAAAATATTTCAAAAAATTATCAAGGTTGATTAGGTTTGACAATGGAGAGACTCGATCCGAACGGCGACTGTTGGATAAGTTTACTCCAATTCTAAATCTGTGGAATCAGTGGGTTGACCTTTTACCAAAATTTTATAACCCTGCAGAAAACGTTACTGTAGATGAGCAGCTTGTGGCATACAGAGGGAGATGTCCATTTCGAAAGCATTACCGAGGGCACGCTTTTCAATAGAGATTACAAAAAAGCTTCGTCAATGTAAAGACAATGTAATATGCTAAAAAGGCTCCCAAAAGAAGTTGTTGCCGACTATGTGCCAAAACTGACAATAAAACACTTTTGATTTGTGTAGATTGTAAGAAATCATATGTAAAAAAACATTCTAATACAGTTGTTCTATGCACCCAGTGTAATAAGATATAATTTCATACATTATATTTTTTTTTTACATATTGCTCAGTCTCTATTTATATTAATGTCTAACAACATGGTATATTATTTTTATATTAGATGTATTAAATTAAAATTTATATAAAAATTAATAGTAATTCTGGAGAAATACCTAGTCAGGTCATAAGTATTGTCACACAGTAAAAACTTTTCTTTTAGAATGCTGGCCACAAAAAAGTTTATTGAATTCGAATTTCGAATTGTTCATGAAAATAAAACTGTATACTTATTAGAATTTTACTCATTTTTAAATATAGAGTGGACGCTTAAAGAAGACCGTGTTGCAGTTATTGCGTTGCATCGTTACGGTTACGCGCCAATTCAAATTTTTGATATACTGAAAAATTTGAATATAACCAAAAGATTCGTTTATCGTACCATCAAACGATACAATGAAGACTAGTGTAGATGACAGGTCAAGAAGTGGTCGCCGTCGGTCTGTTAGGACTCCAGCAGTGATAAAAACTGTGAAGGCGCGAATTCAAAGAAATCCCAAACGTAAGCAGAAATTGTTGGCCCTTCAGATGGGGTTGAGCAGAACCACGGTGAAAAGGGTGTTAAATGAAGACTTAGGGCTTCGGGCATATCGAAGAAAAACAGGACATCGTTTGAATGCTCGTCTAATGGACCTGAGACTGAAGAGATGCCGCGCTTAGTTGAAGCGGTACGCGGGAAAAAAATATCGGGAAATTCTTTTTTGGGGCTTAACAGAGGTACATTTTTGTGAGAAAGGTGTAAAAACGAATGCAGTTGTGTATCAAAATACAGTCCTGACGAACCTTGTAGAACCTGTTTGTCATATCATGTTCAATAACAGGCACTGGGTATTCCAACAAGATTCGGCGCCAGCTCAGAGCGAAGAGCACACAAGACTGGCTGGCGGCGCGTGAAATCGACTTCATCCGGCACGAAGACTGGCCCTCCTCAAGTCCAGATTTGAATCCGTTAGATTACAAGATATGGCAACACTTGGAGGAAAAGGCGTGCTCAAAGCCTCATCCCAATTTGGAGTCACTCAAGACATCCTTGATTAAGGCAGCCGCCGATATTGACATGGACCTCGTTCGTGCTGCGATAGACGACTGGCCGCGCAGATTGAAGGCCTGTATTCAAAATCACGGAGGTCCTTTTGAATAAACTTTAGTGTTATAAGAATCTATGTTTTGTTAAGTTCATTTTGGTATATAAATGGTTACATAATGAATAAACTTGTTTCAATTATTTTATATTAAACATGTGACAGAATTTATGACCTGACTAGGTAAATATAATATGTCAAATAAATCCATTACACATTTGTATCTTTATTTTTTGTTCATTTTTCAGTTTAATTCTACTACTGGGTCAAATCTGACCCAAAGCACGTCGACGTTTGTAAAATTAAAGACCTCATGAAGGTTACGAATCGGATATTGTACGTACCCATTTTTTGGTTGGCATACCTAGTCCAATAAGTCTGACAGCTGCCAAAGGTATTTCTTAGATTTGGTCGAGTATAAGTTTACAAATAAATCCGTCTCTTTAGGCATTACTAAGATCACACTTTTGTGTCATCACCTCACACAAATAAGATATTAAAGTTGCTTTCAGAGTAGAGAAATTTCAACACTTCAATAATTATACTATAAGTAAAGCTACTGCCTATAAACCGTCCATAGTTGGGCAACGGCTTCCTCTCATTTTTGAGAGGATTTTGGAGCTGGTAAGAGCCCGCCGCGCCCATGCGTAGTAATTCTAAGGAAAATTTTTAACTTCTTACACATTCAGTTTTCCTTCACCTTCGAGAACGTGGTAAATCAACTGAAGAGTTGAATTACAATATTTTAAGACGGCACGGCTTAATAATTATTAATATTTACAGTACTTAAAATAAATAATATGTGATCATTATTCATTAGCTTCCTCGGTTTCACTACCAGAATTGGAATATTCGTTATCATCATTACTGTCTGTTCGCGGTCTTTTTACCAAAAGACCTTGCATCTGCAACTTTTGCAATGCTTCCATAGTTCTTTTAGCTCCACAACTTTCTATTCTCTCTTCAACTTGCGTGGCTTGTTTTGAACTAGTTTTCACTATTTTTAGACCAGACATTTTACCAAGTTTACTCAAATGTGAACTCGTACTCATTTCCGATTTCATTTGTGTGGACGTCACTACGGATTTTCCTTGTACATTCTTAACAGTACTAGTAAAATCAGCTCTGCTCTGAGATGCCGAGAAATGCACGGTGGCCTCTCCATCTTGATCACTTTTATATGTTGGTATTTCAAGTGGAAATGCCTCCTTAGGCTTTTTAAAGCAACTCAACTCTCCAGATGTATCCACCGAAGGCCTTTTCATTGATTGGTTCATTGCTTGTGGTGAAATTTTAAGCGCTCTTCCTGTTACTGGTTTTTGATTAGTTGGTTTGGAAGGAGTTTTATTTCTTATTTTTGGCACTGTAGAATTGCAAGGTTTTGTCAAATTTAACCCTGTCCGTACAGGAACTAACTGGTTTGAAGGTCTAATATTTGTATTACTTGTGGGTCTAATTGGAGTAGTAGCATTTTTTATTTTAGTTCCTATGCTGGGAGATGGATGTCTAAATGTAACATTATGTGTATTTTTGCCTTGCTGACTATAATTTAGAATTTTCTGTGGTCTAAATGTAGCATTAGAGTTTATTTGGCCTGTATTTTTCACTTCTTGTTTAACAGTCTGATTCACAGTTCTTATCGTTTTCGTTACAGTTGTCGTTATTTCTTCGATAACAGTTTGTGATTCATATGTTTTGACTGATACTTCTTTGTTTACAGTGTTCACTTGATTGGCTGTTGTTCCAATATTTTCATTTATTGGTGTCTGACTTGCTGCTGTCGTTGGAAGGTTATCAGGTTTCATATTATGTTTTTGTCTGAACTGTTTAACACACGAATCTTTAAGATTATTTGGGATGTCGGAAGCATCTTTATTTGTACCTCGTGTATCAGCATCCGTATCTATAGTACATTTCTTTTCTTTTAATGGCCTTATTGTGATTTCTTTATTAAATGTCTGAAATTTATTTAAAGGACATTTTTGACTTTCACTTGTTTGTGAATTAGATATTTGTGACTGGTAAGTAATTTCATCCGATTTCATTTTTACCTTAGCTTGATGGCTGTGGTTTTCACCATCAGAAAATTCTTCATTGGTTTCTTCTTCAGCAAAATCATCTTCCATGTCACTATAAGTAACATTGGGAGATTGTATAGAGAAATTTTTATTATGTTTGTTTTCATCTTCATCCGAAAAAAAATCGTTATCACTAGCGACATTATCTGTTATTTCAGTTATTTTTACTTTACCAACATTAGAATCAGAGTCACTTTCACTATCTTTTTTATATATCATTTTAATATTTTGAGAATTCTTGTCTTGGGGTTTTCTTGTAGGTAAATTGAGGGACGAATTTTTCGATTTTACCGTTATATGTTTTCCAAGATTTTTTAAAGTCGATTGCAAATTATTGTTGCTTTGGTTTATGGAATGATTCATAGGTTTTTTTTCCTTGATGTTGTTAAAATCCACATCCTCGTCTTCGTCTGTAAATGTACCACTATGTTCTGAAATATTTTCCTCGTCTTTAAAATTACTTTGGTTTTTAACTGATTGGTTTCCCGCTTTTACAGTTATACTCTTACCGAGATTTCGTAAAGCCTCATGAGAATTGAATTCAGAACTAACATTGCCTGTTTTGTGGACCATTACCGGATTTATCGACGATTTAGTTGTTTCAATCGTTTTGTTAAAATCTTGTTTATCTTGGCCATCACTGTCAGAGTCATCAATATTAAAAATCTCAATATCTTCATTTACTTCTTGCTTTGACGTTACTCTTTTAGTAATATTGCCTTTTTTTAAATTTGTTACATGCATCGAAGTTTGAATTGTATGTTCTTGTTTAATGTTCTTTTTCGATGTAATTGTTTTTGCCGTAACATTCCTTAAACGTTTCAAAAGATCTGTATTTGCCTTAGTCTTATTTACGTCCTCGTCTGTATCCAGTAGTGATTCCTTATTTATTGTGTTCTTTATTGTAACTTTATTAGTAGTGTTTTGCGTAGGACTTTCTATTTGTGAATCTTTTGTTATCGTCCCTAATTTGTTTTGATTCTTCAAATTAACGACTTTTCTACCTACAATATTATTTGCTAAACTTTTATATGTAGATTCTACATTTTCTGCTTCATTATTTTTCTCATCATCACTGTCATCACTGAATTTCTCTACTATACTTTTAGGCGATGAAACTTGTGAGCTTAGAGATTTAATTGTAACATGTTGTCCTATATTTTTTAAAGCTTCCAACGTCTTAGGTTCCGATTCTTTCTGGTTCCCGGATCTATTAATTCCTATATTAGTTTCTATATCAACAATATTATTCTTTGACTTTTTATCTTCTATTTTATTGCGACAATCTCCAGCTAGATCCTGACTAATATCATTCAAAGGATAGTCTTCTTTTCTTACCGGTGATGATTTCGAATTATTGATAGATTTAACAGTAATAAGATGACTTAGGTGTTTAATAGCATTTAAAGTATCATTTGTAACATTTTGAGAAGGATCAGTAATAGTTTCATCCTCTGCAAATTTCTTCTCATTAATTTCATTGGTGTGTGCTCGTAGTATTTTTGTACTCGAAAGGTCTTCTTCAAAGTCATTAAGTGTTTGCCCTGCAGATGTAATAGTGTATTGATTTTTATCTTGAATGACTTCTGTCTTTGAAATTTGACATAGCTCATTTATAATTGTATCATTTTTGTTATCATTTGCATTAACATCTTCTTCGTTATCTTTGTTATAAACTATGTTACCATTATCTAAAGATTCATTAAGTGGTGCTGAGTAATTTGTATAATTTTCAAGTAAAGTATCTGTTGAAACTAGAGTTTTGTGAGAATTTCCCTCAATATCTTTTGCTGTTACGTCTGATTTTACAGATAAAGCGTCATTTGATTTTTCATCTATTGCACTTATTGTATGTTTGTTATCTATCTCCTTAGTTTTCTTTAAATCAAGTTGATTTGCTTCTTCATCAAAAGTGTTAACATCTTGGGGTTTGACGTATGTTTCTGCTTTAGTTATTCTTTTTTCATTCTGATCCACATTTTGATTCATCAATGTAGGCTTTTTCATTATTTTTATTTGACTGTTACTCTGATTCATAAGTTTTGACAGTACTTCACTGGAAGTACTTATTACATTCGATTTGATTGGATTAGCTCTATTAGTCGTTGAAGAACTTGATTGTTCTGTGATTTTAGAAGGATCTGGCTTTTTTCCGGGCTTCATTTTTATAGTTATACCTTGTTTCTTTAATTTATCAATATCAGAAGACAAGGCTAATTTTTTTTCGTGATTTTTTATTCCTTGTTCTTTTTTAGGTTTAAGCTGTTTTGCAACGACGCGGGTGGGCACCTCTTCTATCCCCTGAAAGTTCAAACCTTCACCAAAAACATCTGCGTTCATATTTAGGAATTCATCTAGTGTAATAGCCTTTTTAGATTTTTTATGTTTCTTGTGCTTTTTCGCCTTTATCTTCTCAGTTTGTTCCATTTGTTCTTCTTCAGAATCTTTACTCATACTCAATTGAAGAAATTGGTCCTGAAAAATAGAAATCATACACACACATTATTCACATTATTTACAAGTTTTATAAAATATAGTATTACAGTCGAAATCAGTTACAACACATGAAAATAAAGTTGAATCGAGCTAAAAAATAATGTTCCAAACCATGTCTAATAAATTGCAATACTTGCTCTCTCAATTTTCTATACATATAAAAACAAAATTGAAGTGTGTGTCTCTAATATTGAAATAATTGTCTTTTATTAACCCTTTCGATGTCCCGTGCACTACATATAGGTCATTGCTATTGTCTTACTATTGTGTCTGGAAACCGGACAGTGAACGTGTTAAGCTCAGAGGGTTATTTGCATGCTATTAAGACATAAATAACCATATACAATATTTTTGTCGGTCTGTCTATATGACCGGGCTAATCTTCAAGCTGGTTAACAGATTGTGATGATACTTTACGAACAGGCAGAGAGCAATTCAGTAGGGATCTAGGTTATTATTTTATTTGAATAACTTAAAGAAATAAAAAAATTGTTTTTCGATTTTCGTAAATATAAATAACGCTACTTTCGCTTCTCGTTTTCTTCGTCGCTTTTTACCCATTTGTCTTTTTACTTTTCAATGTTTCTTTTGACTATATTCATAGAGATTAAATCGTAAATTTTGTTGTTTCAGGGTGTTTTTCCTGACGTCTCTTTCAGGGCATCAACGACTTGTTCTGCCATAATTTACGATAAAGTTTGGTTTCATATTTTACGTTTGAAATCATATAAATCATACACTTACGAAGTGTACAATCACATCGTCCTAAATCGCTAAGCCTCTTCGGTGAGGTCCTCAATAATCGCAGATATTGTAGGTCGATTTCTCTTAGTCATTTCTCGAAGTAGATTGCACTATCGCATTCCCGAAATAATTACTTCTTCGATCGCCAGTGCACGCATTTATGCCCAATAAGAGATAGGTATATAGAACATTCTAGATCCATCCGGTTCATACAAACATTCCCCTCTTTCAATGAGAAAATACTAAAACAACCGTGATTATTATATTTTATACGTGGTAGACCCATGCTGCAGCTATATTAGTAGTATAGTTGTAGCACGAATGGGGCAGCTCGACCGGGGAAGGACCACGCTCTCACAGAATACCAGCGTAGAATAGTAGCTAGGCGCTGCTATTCTAAGCTGTTGCTGAATGTAGAGAACCGGAGACCCTTTTTACTGGAAAAAGAGGCATTCCATCTTAGTCCTCACGGTTGACAACGCATCTGCATTTTGATTCGCAAACGAGGATAAATGTAGATGTTTATAGGCCACAGCAACCACTTAAAATCAGGTGGACTGTGTGCTTGTTTGTCATCCTATCTTATAAAAAAAAAGATTAACAATATTTTCAAAGAAAAAAAAGACAATAAAAATTATAAGGTTGCGTTTTAATTTTGGGTATTATCTATTCTTACGCCCACACATTTTATTTTATTGTCAATTGGGGACATTGACCCTTAATAGACGTAATGCCTACTCTATCCCATATATCGTAGTAAATTCTATAGGAATGCCAAACTACAGGAACATTTTCGCGCATACATGAAGCAATACAGTTGCGTACAAAGCTTTCTTATAATATATTTATTTACTTTGTATCTCTGATCACTGTGGTGATAAGACCATAGTAGCATTAGATACTAGCTGATACCCGCGACTTCGTCCGTGTTGCTTGATATATTAACAAAGAAAACGCACATCACTGAACACGAAGGTCTTATAAAAGTCGTTGTTTCTTAAAACTAATAACTTCATATTAAATAAAGATATCGCAATATTTTTTTAGATAAGGGCAAAGTGTCTAAGAAATAAAACTTAGAAAACCTAATTGAAATCTATCCAGTGGTTATACCGGGATGCGCACACAACTGCAAACCTCTATCATATATATAATCTCTATTATTTATATAATTTTTACTTATTTCTACATTTCTGATCTGGCATACAATCAAGAATTCATTCCTTTATTTTAAAAATTCCTTCTACCCTACACTTCTAATCGCGCCACATTTTTTTTTTATTAGATAGAGTATGTATCTCATTTGATTTATAAAGTTTTATTAACAACAAGCACATATTTAAAATATTTCAATATTGATTTTAGAAAAAATCAAATAGCTTATTTAATTATTAAAAAATTGGTTTCAATTGTCTTATAACCGATTTTGACTGTATTTACAAGTCTATTTTTTTTTTACTTACAATTCCAATTGTTTTTAAATCTTCATTATCTTCGTCAATTGCATCAATTTCCGCTTTTTCTATTAAAGGAGGTATAGTATCCAATGAAAACTCAACTATTTGTTTAAGCCTGTAAATATATGACAACATATTTATATGCATTGAACAAAAAGTATACATAAACCAAGTAAAACAATATTAACATTTCATTTTCTTCACTGTACAAGTCTTCAGATGAGTGAAATGTAAGATGCAATTCATAAGCATCTAAATGGTAAAATATAGCTTCACATAATGGACACCTAAGTATATCTTCAGGGCTTTGATTTTCATCATTATGATCATCTGTCATATGTTTCTGGAATGAATAAATACATAGTGTTTACATGTAATAAAAATTAGCAATGAATTTTACTCACAAAAATTACATACATGTAAATTGACTTTGTTGTTATACTCCTCGCCACAAAATGGACAATAATAGATTTGCACTAATTCCTGAAAGCATAACATTTTATATAACTAACTTACAGTAGAACCTTAAAAATCTTTACTATATGAATAATTCAGATAACAACTAACCTGATTCAATAATTTTAGTTTTTTTGAATGACCAATGACAGGTAAATCCGTGTCCTGTCTGTGATAAAACTTATTATGATAAACCATGGCTGATGTGTTATAGAAATCCACATCGCAACAATCACAATGGAAATTGTTAGTTACCTCAAAGCTGGAAGAATCATGACTGGACAACAAATGTTTGTTGAAAAGATGCTGAAATATAATATTTATTAACTTAATTTAAATGTACTTGTATTTTTATAAAAATAAATAAATGTATACAGTGGAAAAAATATATATATATAAATGTAAATGTAAAATAAGGCAACAATAATGGTGGAAAGAGTATGCAGTTATTTCAATTGTGACGATATCAATTAATCGATTCATCACAACTGTTTAGGCCAAACAATTAACATTTGAAATTTGCATTCAACACTCATGTCCTCCCGCTGACTTTGTAAAGGTCACCGTCGCCCCCCTCCCGTGTGGGTCGCTCGGCAGAGGGCGCGAGTGCGAAGACAGTAGCTTGACAGCAGCGGCTCGGTCGATTAGCGTATTTTGGTGACCGCTGCATCGATTTCGCGCGACCAGTTTTTTGGTTTTGTGGTCTAGAATTTGAGTCTTTGTGCGTGTTTAATTTACTATTGGATTTGGGTTTCGTGTAGACCGCCCCGAATTAGTTTGTCTAAGTTGTACGTTTCGTGACAAGAGACTAGTATTGAATTTGAGTGATTAAAGTAATTTCTTTGTAAGTAATTACGTCAATTTGTATAGTGATTGCATGTTGAAGTGCATTTTGCAATATTTAACTTGCTTCTGTGACGTGGAACCTTGCGCGCACGCCGAGTGGACATACGGTCTGGAATTTGACGCTCGCATTCCATTTCCAGGGCGTGGCCCGGTTAATTGTTTTTGGAAGTTAATGTTTAATTGTACCGTCGCATTAAGTGCCTTTTGTGTGTTGACTATGATGTACTTAGTTTGCGTGTCAGAATTTAGTTTATTGTTTGTAACGCTGAACTTTGTGGCTCGAGAAGAGATCACGTTCGTTCCCTTTGAGTTTGAAGTTAATTAAATGTACAATAAAGTTGATGGATTGAAATAGTGTACAATAAAGTTGATAGACTGAAATAGTGAAATGAAGGCAGAAATTTTCCATTGGTGATCCACGACTGGAGCGGAGCGCGCATTGGGAGAACATCAGCTCCGGAGGATTTTCTGTCCGATTAAATCGGGCCGTCAGGTCACATATATAAACACTACTACACACTACTTACATGCACCTACACCTACCTACCGCCTGACCGAGCCTTGGGGCAGTCTTAGCTTCGGAACCAGGTACGTACTATTTATTTACCTAGCCTTACATCTATTGTAGTGTGTAGTGTAGAATAATAAGTCTCCGTAGGCCGTTGGACACCGTCCTCTGCTGCCCGTCGATTGGACTACTGATGGGCCCTAGTCCAGTCCACCTTTGTTGAGGCAGCTCAGGGCGTGTACAACAACCATTATATTGATTAATCAAAGAAATATTCTAGGCTATTTGTTAAAATAGATTAGATAGGTGCTGCGATAATCGTAGCTAAACAGAACACGACGGGATTCATCTCTCTAAAGAAACCCGACGGAAGTTACTCAACATCGCCGGATGAAATCCAACGCATCCTAATTTAAACATACTTCCTAGGTTGCTGTGTTACTCGGGCGGTGAACTGGTGTAAGATATAGTGATACCAACAACAGAAGACTGGACTTTAGCACAGAGTGGTAACAATGGATAAATCCATTGGGTCATTCACACTTTTCTCCCCTATAAGGCGGCAGGACCTGTATGTTCCTAGGAGATGGAGGGAAGTGAAAGTTACGTTCATACCCAAACCAAATAAGAGCAACTATATGGACTCTAAAATCCTATAGACTATATAAAAAATAATTTAACTATGAAAAATATGTGAGACCCATTAGTCTCACATATTTTTTCCTAAAGACGTTGGAGAGGGTGTGTGAAAGGGATTTAAGGGGGTCGGCGATAATGAGAAATTCTTTTTTTATCTTTTCGTAATGTGGGTATTAAAGTGTGAAACTCCAAATTCTATGCGTTGAGTACTCAGCTCAGGAATCCATTCTCTTCTTTTCTTCCTCACATAATGACATTCTTCTTGTATGGGCTTCCCGAGAAATTGTGAAAATGGATCACCAGTTTCCTTGCTGATTGGAGCATCAAGGTCGTAGTAGACAGTGCATGCTCTGATTTCAAGCCTATTAACACTGGTGTTCCACAAGGCGCGTACAATCACCAATGCTGTTTCTCCTGAATATCAATGATATGTTGCAAACTGGTAACATTCATTGCTATGCAGACGACAGCACTGGTGATGCCTTACATACCGGCCGTGCTAATATTTCTCGGGAAAACGTCGCCGAGTACCGGGACAAACTTGTGTCTAAAGTAGAGTCTTTGCTGAACAAAGTCTTGGATTGGGGGCCACTAAATCTAGTACAGTTCAATACCCCAGAAGACACAAGTTTGCGCGTTTACCGCTAAAAAGAACCCCTTTGTCGTATCTCCTCAGTTTCAAGGCACTCCCCTTGCTGCCTCAGCTAGCATCGGAATCCTCGGCGTCGACATATCGAATAGTGTGCAGTTTCGTGTTCACTTGGAAGGGAAGGCCAAATTGGCCTCTATAAAGCTTGGCGTGCTCAGCAGAGCGCAAATCCGGCCTCACATGGAATACTGTTCTCATCTCTGGGCAGGGGCACCCCAATGCCAGATCCTTCCACTTGACCGCATTCAGCGCAGAGCAGTTCGAATAATCAACGAGTTTTTTCTGATCGGCTTGATTCACTGGCGCTGCGTAGGCATGTTGCATCTTTTTGCATTTTCTATCGCATCTACCACGGGGAGTGCTCTGAGGAATTGTTCGGATTAATTCCTGCCGCCAAATTTCACGAACGCACATCGCGTCAAAATTCTCGATACCATCCCCACCATCTGGATGCTTGGCGGTCACGACTGTACGTTTTACTGGGAGTTTTCTTCGTCGTACAACTTCTCTGTGGAATTGTTTACCACCAGCGATTTTTCCAGACCGATAGGACTTAGGGATCTTCAAGAAAAGAGCTTACACCTTTCTAAAAGGCTGGCAATGCATCTGCAATTCCCCTGGTGTTGCGGTTGTTCATGGGCGGCAGTAGTCACTTAACATCAGGTGAGCCGCATGCTCGTATGCCCCCTCTTCTATAAAAAAAATCCTAACCTAACATGCCTCTCCTACTTCTTCACATCCATATATCTATGCATACATGCTCATCAGTTAAGGATACTCTTGTTTTGGCCCAACTTTAATATATTACCAATTTAATTGGTAAGCTTCAATCTACAGTTACCCTTGCTGACTCTGCCACTGATTTCTGCAGCATAAATTGACTTTTTCTGTCTTTTCTCATTCATTCTTTTCATCTGTCCAAACCCCGAAACATTCCTTTCTTAATGTTAGACACATCTTCTTGCAAACCACACTTTCTTATCACACAAACTTTGTAAAGCCTATATTTCTACAGCATTCATTTTACTCTCATGCTTCTTTCACCACACCCAATTTTCACTGCCATACATTATGGTAAGTAATTTTTTTGTAATGAAGCTCCTTATCACACTGTACGAATTTCACGGATGGGGCTAGGCGAGAAAGTGTAAGATTTTTCCATCATGTCTATTCATCCATCCTTTCTATAGTGTGAGCGAGATGGAATAATATCCATTTCCCATGCACTATTTCTTATCTTGCCATGAAAGAAATACTATTTTAAATGATGCTTCATTTTAATAGACGCTAGTAATTAATTTTATTTATATTTTTTAATCAATAATATAATATGTTTATTCCACGACACTCACACTTGTTTTTTTTTTTGTGTAATTATTTAAGTATTTAATTAATTCTATCTCCCTTTTTTAAGGGTGTCCATGGAAAATACTCAATTTCAACAAAATGTCAGGAATTATTTTGAGCATGGGCAATTTAGATGATGAAGATCCTAACAATATATAACAATGGCAGGTTCAAAATTAAAGTCTATAGTAAAATTATTTTGTGCGTGCAGTTGGAGTCATAAATCATAGCTCGGCCTCAGCCCGGCTAGGGCGGTGAGCATGTTGAGCAGGCACAACACCATTATCGATAACAACAAATTTAATTTTAGATATAAGTTATTATCTTTATATTTATATTTATTTTTAATATAACTTGTTACATTCCAAACATTTGTACTTATAGTTTTTTTAATACATAGAGACCTAATTAATAATTTATTTTAAATCATTATTATTCTTATTTTAATAAATACGTTGTTTTATCTATTTTTTTTTAATTTTTATCACTAACCCCAAATAATGACAAAACTAAATATACTATCAATAATGCTTATCGACATCAATAATGCGCATCACTATGCTCACCTCTGAAGCCCGTGAGTGGGAGAGAGAGCGAAATACTCCAATGATTTGTGACCCAAACTTCACGTGCAAAATAATTCTAGTATAGCTCTAGTGTACAACAATATGTCCATGTGATGGCAGCATAAGAGTATTGATTACCCCATTTCATCTCTTAGGTGTCATAAGGGGTGACAATAAAGAATTTTCAGAATAAATTTATGGGTTTCGATAGATGGTGATATACTGCATTATTTATGCCATATGAAAAATATCCAGATTTGTAACATGCAACTGCATCAAACTGGTGAGACATCTGGTACTGCAATTGTCAATCTGCCTGCCAAGTTTGACAGTTAAGGCAAACCTTACCTACAATGGTGTCCAACCGTGAACTTTGCAAGCTGATGAAGGAGATGGTAATATGAAAATAATAAAATTAAAAAAAAATACTACTTATTAAATTCGTCGTTGACACCGCAAAGGGGTGAACCTCAATTTTTCGAAAAATTATAGAAGATTAAGAAAACATTTATTATTCCCTCATTACTAACTTTTTTCCATCAGAAAATTAAATATATTAGACTTAATGGAAAACTACAAATAAGATTAATTTTTTAATGGAAAAAAATTAGTAATCGGGGAATAATAAATGTTTTCTTGCTCTCCTGTATTTTTTTGAAAAATTGAGGTTCGCCCTTTTGCAGCTTTATCGACGAATTGGTCACAGCAACAAAATATCAGTTTAATCACTATTCCCCAAAACTAAGGGTTTTCTATACTGATTTATCCTTGCTACACTGCTACAACTGCCTCATTTTCCTAGTGGTCATAAGTATGACTGCTAACTGTGAAGTCTCAGGTTTGAATCTCAGATCAGGCCTAAATCAGATATTTTTAAATCAATCATTTTATCAGTTAACAGTTATACTATTTTCTGTCAAGAAATTCTCCATATCAACCTGGAATCAGGATGTTGGTAGTGTTTCACCTCTAGTGCCTCTGATTTCTCTCCAGTCATGTCAGAAAGCCATCCCATTAGATTATAAGAGTGAAGGAAGAGAGAGCACCAGTGCTTTTACACACTCTTACACTATTAAATCTGGTTCTGCACAGATAGCTAGTCTCTATTGATACTGTTCGCCGTGACCAAACTTTGGCCTGGAGAACATTATTTTACTTGCATATTTGATAATAATATTTTTACATAGAGATGGATTTTTGTGATATTCAACAAAATAATAAACAAAATCAATCTAATTAGATTTCATTACATTATGAGCAGTGATAATTTTTAATAACGTTTCTCGTAACAATTTCATCGTGAGCAAGATCCAAAATTACACTTACCTTTAAAGTGAACAGCTTGCCACACCATGGGCAAAAATACTTGGCGTCATGGTCTGGGTGCACTTTGTGTTTATGAGTTATCGCTTTCGATATTGTGGGAAACACTTCGGGGCATACATCACATGAAACCATTTCATTGTCGTCTTTTGCAGTATCAATGGACGTCGGCGATTCGTTCTGATTCCGAACTTTAGCTTTTGCAGTTTGATCAAATTTCGGATCTCCATGCTTCCTAACAACAACAATTAATAACAAGTTTGTTAGATTCCTAAAAACTTGAGAATATTTTTGAAGGAAGAAGCTATCATAATTAATCACCTGAAGTGTTCTTGTAATGTCTCTTTATCTTCGAAGGCTTCCTTGCAAAATATACATGAAAATTCCTGTACCGAAGTCATCATAAAAATTGTGAAGAATTCAGAATTATTTCAGAACAACTGGAGTATTCACCGGCTTGTATACTAAAATAACCATATTCACCAAACAATCTTTAAGATATAAACCAATACTACATTGTCCTTTTTTAATTAAAGTTAAAACCATAAAGTGTTTTGCATTTATTTTCTTAGATATAATCTCCAAATATATAGTGACAACAATACAAGCGAAATGCGTGCCATTTTGAATTGTAGATTTGTATCAGTGTTCAGTGTTGCAATCGTAAAAAACTGAGTTGCCGTATTTTTTTTTTTGGAGTTTATGGCCTGGTATCTAGACCTTTAGGCCAAGTCTTAAGTATTTTTATTCGGTTTATTGTAATTTCCCCACTCCTTCATAGTATACTGCTTCACAATATGTTGATGCGTCACATTGTGCAGTTCTTGGTAGATTTTGGCGGCAACTTGATCCAGCAGACAGCTGATAGTTGGCGATGGTATCTAAAGATGCCTATGCAAACAAACAGCTTATCTTGAGAATCCATCACCATCAGAGCACTTGTTTCACTGTTTCCACTAATAGTTCACATGCGTAGACACTTAATACACAAAATCGCAACACTTTTACATATCAAAGTCCACTTCAAACCATTATTTAAACAATAATACAGGAGCAGCAAACCGCCGCCGGTCAATTTCCCGCCAAAAACTCTGAGTTGCCGTATGTCACAGCCTGGATTGCCATATTTTAAGAAATTTTACTTATCCTTTTTTTCAAACTACTTAGTCTAAATATTTTATTTCCATACTTTTATTTTAACAGTAAACGTTAAAAAAAATCCTTTTTTCAAATACATCGAAAGCCAACTCATACTGACACAGTCATTCCTGCGTCATCATGTCATATATTATCATAATATATCGTCATCATAAATTAGCCGCTTTTTATTGTTATATTAATGGTTTGTTTACTGTGTCATTAAGTAAAGAAAATTATTTAAAAGAGCTTAATGTGATTTATCAGATTGCGCTCTGTAACGGTTATTCAAAGAATATCATTGACAATGTAATCAAAGAGAAACAAAAGCTTGTCGTACGCAATTTTCTGTACGCGGTTAAACCTCAAAGTGCTCGTTGATATGTTGGCAGTTTGACCTACTTAGGTTCCATATCATAAAATAGCTAATACTCTTCGACAGAGTGGCGTTTACGTGGCGTTCAAAACAAACAATTCACTTAGGAATATCCGTAATTATAAAGATAAGTTAGATATTCGTCTAAGTCTGGGGTTTATAAACTTGTTTGTGACGAATGCCAAGCCGTTTACGTGGGTCAGACTGGACGCAACTTCGAAACACATTATAAAGAGCATTTAGCCGCGTACAGGAATTGTAATCCCGATAAATCTCATTTTCTAAACATCTCTTGGACACTAGACACAGCCTAGCCAATGACCACTCCTTTAAAGTCTTACTTGAAATAAAGGGCTACGCTTGTGTGTGTTGGAACGGTTAGAGATATTAAAAATAATAGCAGTAACGTTGCACTGCTGAATGAACAAACAAATTTTTCCAACTCACCTATTTTAAATATGTTTAAGCCTACTTCTTGATGATATACAGCCTCACAACATGGTCGTTTGTCACCCTCACGGTGCGGTGGCCAGCGATTGGTTGCGTGGTTTGAGGGTAGGCGGACGTTTCGCAGTAGTCTGTTCTTAATTTAACAGCAAATATCTGCGTACGTTAGATGGTGAATGATCGCATGACGTGATCGCTCGCTACATAATTGAAGCGCGGTTGCGTCAGCAAGTAGTATAAACAGCAGTCGTTTCGGCTCGCTGCTCACTTAGCACTTAGGATGCGCCCCCTTTTCACATGCTCCCCCGTTTCCCTAAAGGGGGTCGCTTCCGATTCGGCAGAAAGGCCACACAAGCCAATGCCAGCCTCACAGATGGTTTTTAGTGGGTAGGCCATTTTCATTGTTTCTGGACGCAAAGAAAAAGCTCGCCGCTCACTTAGCGGCCAGAGTCTACTTCACCTGAGGATGCCTCGTGTAGAGGCGAAACACGTGTCGTATTTTCGAGAGTGGTGTATCGTGCCTAGTGTGGCACGGCACACCACTCTCAGTAGCTACGGGTGGTAGTGCTGGGATTGACGGCGACAGGTATAGTGCGCGCGATTATGGGAGGGTGGGAGGTCCCCTTAAAACTGGACAGGACAAATAATTTTCTTTCAAAGCTTCACAAACCAGCTTCAGTTGAGCCCCCATATATCCAAATTAGTAAGCAGACTAAGTGCTACGGCCTATGCTATAAAATAGATTAGAGGTCTCACTAGTGTTGAGACAGCTAGATAAGTTTATATCAGTTATTTCCATAGCATAATGTCTTATGGAATTTTGCTATGGGGAAATGCGGCTGATTCAGAAACTATTTTTGTTTTACAGAAAATGGCCATTAGAGCTATTTACAATCTAAAACCGAGAGAGTCTCTTAGAGATAAATTTAAAGAAATAAATATATTAACTTTGGCCTCTCAGTATATTTACGAAAATTTAATGTACGTTCACAAAAACAAAGATAGTTTTAGTAAAAAAAGTGATATACATTCTGTAAACACTAGGAACAAACACAAGCTGGTGATGCCAGTTTCACAACTCTACAGAGTCAGTAATTCATTCTTGGGGTAATGTATACACTATTACAACAAGGTCCCGGAAAGTGTACAGGTTCTCTCTCTTACCAAGTTTAAATGTTTTATTAAGCTGAAACTGTATATAAAAGGTTATTACAATATAAATGAATACATGGTTGATAATAAACCCTGGGAATGAGGTGGTCGCTTCCAAGCAGTTTCTAAAATAAATTTTGTAAATAGTTCGTAATCATTTATATTGTAAAATTTATTTAAAGAAAAAAGTCCTGCTGGGTTTCTAGCTGGTTTTTCCCAGGACAGAGGTTTTTTTGAACCAGTGGTAAAGTAAAAAATGACTTTCAATAAGAATTACACATGTAATGTATATTGAATAAAAATTATTATATTCTATTTCTTTAGTCTTTACGCGGAATTAAGCAAATTAGTTAATAACAATCCCATTATAATGGATTTCCGCAAAGTAACGCCTGATTCTATTAATTATGGTAAATTGCCGTATTTTGTGATATGGCAATGAAATGCCTGTCGTATGGCGTCTTTTTCTGAAAAAATATCGTGGATTGCTGTATAAGGCCGGCCACATACATATGGAATTCCGTTTCGAGATTCCGTTTCGATATTCCGATACGGAATCACGAACGCAGCAAGTCCATATAAAATCTATGACCCGCCACACACGGGTAGTTTTCCGTTCGATATTTTGCGGGCAAAACGGGATTCCGTTTGTGTGTGGCCGACCGTTCGGAATTCCGAAACGGAATCTCGAAACGGAATTCCGTATGTATGTGGCGGGCCTAATACGGCAACCGTAGAGGGAGAATGAACTACTACTACTAATTGTATATACTCCCTCTACGACAGCAACTGCAATATCAATGGCACAGATAACTGTATACTAGTCAGAGAATCAATGACAACGCTGATTTATATAATTTACGAAAAAATATTCTTTTTCATAATAAGTGGCTTTACGGTTCCGGGATCTAGCCCTTCTGAGCCTGAAGTTACAATATATTATAATAATTATTCTTCATAGTATACATACTGCTTCACAATATGTTGATGCGTCACATTGTGCAGCCCTTGGGAAATTTTGACGGCAACTTGAGCCAGCAGATAGCTGAAGGTTGGCGATGGTATCTCAAGGCGCCTAAGCAGACAGACACATTATTTTGAGAATCACATCACCATCAGAGCACTTGTTTCACAGTATCCACTAATAGTTCACATGCGCAGACACTTAATACACAAAATCGCACTACTTTTACATATCAAAGTCCACTTCAAACCATTATTTAAACAATAATTGAGGAGCAGCAAACCGCTGCCGGTCAAGTTCCCGCCAAAACTCCTTACGAAAAAATATTGTTTATTGCTTCCACAAACTAATATGATGCATAGATAGCTTCGATTCACTGTAGCCCGGTAGCTAGTAGTCCAGTGATGCCAATGAGGGCATCCACGACTTTTTCTACTACCAGGGCGGCGCCACTTTACAATGAGGTAAAATATTTGACATATTTCATAGCGGCGACGATAATTACTTAGGAATATATAAACTTTAATCTTTCTTTCCGTATTATTAGATATATTTTGTATTAATTAGATTAGAAATGAATAAACCCAACTATAAATATAACTAAAAGTAGGAAAATTAAAAAAAAAATAGTTGTAAAGTCCAAAAAATTAAAAATCAAACCACTGACAAACTATTATTGCCCAAATTTGGTCATTTTGAACGCCATCCAATTGCGTTCGAGCTGGCGCGTCACCCGATGGTATGTAGGTGAGATAAACGCCGCCAGGTGGGGCGGCGGTGTGCGGTTTGTGTGGCTCGACGCGTGGGTGAAGGAGATGAGTAGCTCGCTGGCCGCGATGCGGTGAATCCGTGTATCTCGATTCTCGCGGCCGAAGTTGACGCGACCGTGTAGGGTCTGTGAGAGATTATTGTAATACTGGAGGGTGGATAAGAATAAATCAGTCTCAGCTCGATCTCGGTGTTTGATTGCCGCGTCCCCCTGTTGACATGGCGCAGTCGGAAAAGTAAATAAGTTTATTAAGTATATTACAAGTCAATTCGAATAGTGTTTAGTTAATAACATTTAATAATTATGGAAGGTGTCTTAAGTCCACCAAAACCATTTCGTTTCGACGGGAGTTCAGACTACGCAAATATAAGTGCCAGTTGGACAAAATGGAGGAATAGCTATGAAATTTATACAAAGGCATGTGAAATAACGAACAAAGCGGCGAGTGTGCAAATTAATATATTATTGCACGTACTTGGCGATCAATGCCGAGAAATCCTAGATCAAAACAAAGATTCACTTTTAAAATGCACTACCGCGGAAGCTGTCTTACAAATATTGGATGGACATTTTAATATAAAACCTAATGTTACAGTGGAACGACACCGATTTTTTACAAGGAATCAGAGAGAAAACGAGACAATAGAACAATATGTTTTCGACTTGCAGAAATTGGCTCAAACATGCGATTTCGGGGCCTTAAGCGATGGTCTTATAAAAGATAGGCTGATATGTGGCGTATCCAATTCAGCTATTCGGGAACGGCTACTAAGGGAGTACGATCTAACTTTAAGCAAAGCATTAGAAATATGTCGAGTCGCGATAGTATCGAGGGTGTATGCGGATAACATTAAACAGGAGTAGTTATCAGCATTCTTAATCAACAATAATAATCATGCGGTCGAAAATGATGAGAATATTTGGAGTGTGCGGCACAGGAGGGATTCAAGGAGAGGATATCGTGGTGGCGTAGGTGGCGTGAGCGCGGACGCGCGCATAGGCGGACGCAGCGTACGCGGCGGCGCGTCCCGCTCGGCCCAGCGCCCGCCATGGCGCGCTCGAGGCGAACGTGCCTCCACGGGTTCGACGCTTTGGGTGAAGCAATGTGGGCATTGTGGCAGTGTACATAAAAAGTTTGAGTGTCCCGCGTATTGCAAGCAGTGTCTAAGATGTGCGAAAATGAATCACTTTGCCAGAGTCTGTGGTGCTAGTGTATTCAATGTCGAGGAGTCTGATGAGCAGGTAATACATACTGTAAAATCTAGTAGTGAGTGGAATGTTAACCTAAAGATTAATAATAAGTCTGTTAATTTTAAATTAGATATTGGGGCAGATGTTAATATATTGCCGTTGTATTATTTGCCACAAATAGGGGTCTCGGATAAAGATTTGCTAAAAACAAATACCAAGTTATCTGGCTACTCGGGCATAAAAGTAGTAGGGAAAATCACTTTAAATGTTTATTACAAAAGTAAAATGTACATGCTAGAATTTAAAATAGCAGATTTTAAGTCTATGCCGGTCTTGGGCAGGTTTGCGTGCAGTGAGTTGGACATGGTGAGACGCGTGATGTCGATACAGGAGGATAGCGGAGTTCCCTTATTTTTAGGGCAGTACGATGACGTTTTTCAGGGTATAGGGTGCTTACCGGGGAAATACAGAATAAAATTATATGAAAATGTTGTACCGATTGTTCATGCTCCTAGGAAACTACCGTTCGCGATTAGGGACAAAGTTAAGATGAAATTGGAAGAGATGGAAAAACAAGGCATTATAGCCAAGGTAGAGGGCCCATCGGACTGGGTACTAAACTAAACTACTTTAACTATTGTTAAAAAAGCTAATGGAGACATACGAGTTTGTCTTGATCCGAAGGAATTAAATAGAGCGATCAAAAGAGAATATTTTAGGTTACCGTCACTCGACGAGATTGTATCAAAACTTTCAGGTGCTAGGTATTTCAGTACTCCGGATGCGGTAGCAGGGTTCTGGCAGGTGGCTTTAGACGATACAAGCGAGTTGTGCACGTTCAACACTCCCTTTGGACGTTACAAATTCTTAAGGTTACCCTATGCATATGCTCGGCACCAGAGGTGTTTCATAAAAAAATATACGAAAATTTTGATGACTTAGATAGAGTTTGTATGTACATCGACGACTTATTAATATACGGTAGCAGCAAAAAAGAACATAATGAAAGTTTAAAATTAGTATTGGACAGGTGCAGGAAAATCAACCTCAAATTAAATAAAAATAAGTGCAAATTTGGGTTAGAAGAAATCAGGTATTTGGGACACAGGATTACAAAGAAGGGGCTTTAACCGGATAACTCGCACATTACAGCAATTACGAACATGCCTAAACCTGGAAATAAAAAGGATGTAGAGCGATTACTAGGACTAATTACTTACGTGGGTGCTTTTATACCAAATTTATCTGATAAGACATTGTTGTTGAGAGAGTTGTTAAAAAAAGAAACGGAATGGTACTGGGATGAACGACATGACGAGTGTTTAAAAGTTATAAAACAGTGTTTATCAAAACCACCAGTGCTAAGATATTACGACTTAGACCTCCCTATTACTATCTCAGTAGATGCGAGCAAAAGCGGCTTAGGTGCCTGTCTAATGCAAAAAGGAATGCCAGTCTGTTATGCGTCTAAGTCATTGTCAAAAGCAGAACAGCGATATGCTCAGATAGAGAAGGAGTTATACGCTTGCGTTTTTGCTTGTGAGAGGTTTCATGCGTACATTTACGGAAGAACAGATGTCGTGATCGAAACTGATCACAAGCCACTCGTTAGCATTATAAAGAAACCAATAGTGGACTCACCATCGCGCCTACAACGGATGTTATTGAAATTACAACGCTATACATTCAAATTAGTTTACAAAGCCGGTAAACATCTATTTATTGCAGACGCGTTGTCACGGGCATACGAGCCCGAGCCGGCGTTGAGCGCGCAGGTTTCCAGCGCTGACTATACACAGCACGATGAAGTTTGCGCGATCACAAGAGATATGGCACTGAGCGCAGCGACCGATGTTACGGACTTGCAGTTTATTAAGTTGCAAAAGAGTTCAGAAAATGATGATGAACTCGCGTTGTTGAGGAAATACATAAGAGAAGGGTGGCCTACAAACAAACATGACGTCATAGATTTTTTTCAAAAGGAATAAATATTAAAGTAATCTCCTTACAACGAAACCATATAAATGTGAAATAATTATTGATAACATGCATCTCCTCGTAAAGTAAGCATTATTTTATTTTGCGATTGACACTAATGGCAATTTATTAATGAACATTTCTATCATAAAAATTTTTTCAAATGACCAAAATTTGATTTTATTAAGAAAATATTTTAAAAACTGGGCGTATTCACTGCCCACAGGGTTGCTGGAGTCAGTGAGCGCTAAGCTCTGGAAGGTGAAACCCGTATCGTTAGTCACGGCGTCGGCCAGCGCACACGCTCACGTCATCTTATCAGTCGATAATATTATAATATTATTACTTATTTGGTTATTTATAGGTAGTATTATTTGTTTGTTTTGGGTAGAATTTTTCGTATTAGTTATACATATATTAGTTGTGTTTTTTACTGCGCGATGAAGCTTTTTGCATGTATTTTATTTGAAGTAAATGCAAATATAAAAATTAAGCACCATTAGCATGTAAGGTTTCGTTTGAGTTGGGCGTTTAATTTGGTCTATGGTTGTCTAATAAGGCCCGGTCAGGTAAGTCGGCCTATAGGCGACTAATTCGGCCTGGATAGTGCACGCAATTGAGGGAGGGCGGGAGGTGCTCTTCATACTAGATAAGACACATTATTTTATTTCATAACGCGGATATTTGCGAAGTAAATTTTTCTAAAAGCTTTTATATAATGGATTTCCGCAAAGTAACGCCTGATTCTATTAATTAAATTATGTTGAAGATTGTTGGTGCGAAACACTTTGCATACTTCCATCCAACGAGTTACGGGACAATTTTGTGTCCCGGAGCTTTATTTGGGGACAATGGGGCAGGTGACCGAGAAAAGGGACAGTCCCGTTCAAAACGGGACGTATGGTCACTTTACCTATAACCCGGCGACGGCTTCGTAGCGCAGTGGCTTAGCAATCAGTTGTTGCGCTTGGGGCCGCGGGTTTGAATCCCGCACGGAACAAGTATTTGTATGGCCTACAAATAATTATTTCGGGTCTGGATGTTTGTCCTTGTGCAATTTATGTTTATAAACTGCCTCCACGACACAGGAGAAAATCCTAGTGTGGGGGTACCATTTTTTTTTAATTTAAATTGAAAGATTGAACCCTTATACTTCTTGTTGATTTTTGTATTACCTTTATTAAAGTTACCCTTATGTATAAATAAATATAATTACGTATGTAGAAATAAAATTGAATAAACATAAAAACCAAACATGTTTTTTTTTCATCCTCATCAATCATTGGGGTGAGGATAATGTCAGCCAGCATAAGTAATAAGCAGGCTAAGTTACAAGGAGCTTAGTTCAAAAATTAGTAGGTAGGGTATACTTTTCAATACGTGACACGTAAAAATTAACAATAATCAAAAACACATCTGCGAAACATCCTATTTATTTATTTATTACACCAAATATTTATACAAAACGCAAGCAATTTATCTATTTACCTATAGTGAGTAGGTATCTTTTAAACTCACAATTTTCAATGCTTCATTTTTAATATATAATTAATTATAAAATGTCATAATTAGATAATATATGAGAATACATAATTCTAATATAATGCAACTAATATACCGAATAAAAAAAAATAAAATACATTTATATGTGCGCCGTGTGTATTTCCATTTTCCATAAAATAGTTTATTGATGTTGAAAAAATAATACTACGTTCGTACAGTAGGTGGCGTCTTGCATATTTCTTACGCGACATATTGTAACGAGTCGGCGCAGCGGACCGAATGCTCAAGGTCGTGCGCATGGAGTAGCCCCTTAAATTACCATGGTTAAAAACGATTAACAGAAGCAAACTAAGAATAATAATGATATTTCTTTTTGTCGGTAAGTAACCTTTCGATAAAAAAAAACATTTATTTAAAAAAGCTTTTGAATAGCATTTTCTATAAAGGTTTACCTTTATTATGTACCTACATAATAAAGGCAAATTCGGTTATAAAAGGTACATTTTCTAATTTTAGATTTACGAAAAGTCTTGAATTGGCAAACAAATGGGTGGTAGCAATAAAGAGGACCAACTGGGAGCCAAAGATCAATAGTTTTGTTTGTTTCATCCATTTTAGTGCTTCGTCCATTTGTGAAAGCAAGTGTGTACTGCGTAAGCTAGTTGGAGGTGTAATGCCAGAGCTTTAATTTTAAGTATGATTTCACTTATTTTAAAGCGTATCTGCATTTGGTTCTTTATTGAGGATAGATGTGGATGTCTATGGGTCACAGCAACCACTTACCATCAGGTGGGCTGTGTGCTCGCTTGTCACCCTATCCTATAAAAAAAATTGTAGTCAAGCAAACAATACTACAATTATATTATAGTTAACCCTATTCTAAGGTGCAATAAATGAATTAGAATTTTGTGTTTGATTAATAAACATCGTTTTATAAATTCGTACCTGGATTTAATTGATATGCTAAAACCTACCTTATAATTATAAACATATACACATATAAAAAACATATACAGTATTTAATGAAGCTCAAATCTAGTAGTGCTCCCGAATGGGATAGCATATTGAGTAAATTCCTGAAGATGGCACATGAGTTTGTTGTTCCAGTGATTCCCCACTTGACTAATCTGTGCTTTAATACAGCAATCTTTCCAGATGTCCTTAAAAAGCAGTTATAGCTCCCGTCTACAAGGATGGCGACAGGGTTGACGTTAGTAGCTATCGACCCTTTTCTGTTTTCCCTGCCATCTCCAAAATTCTCGAAAAGTTAACAAATATAAGGTTAATAAATTAACTCCACAAATATAATATTTTATCTTATTATCTAATTCACAATGTGGTTCCAGAAAAAAGTTTTCCACAGAAGATGCGTTCTTGGAATTTAACTCTTTTGTTGTAAATAAAGACCTATGCGGGCGGTGGCATCGCCTAACATCAAAGGTTTTACAACTGTTAAGTCTTTGAGCCGTGGTAATACGTTCGTAATCAATTTATTGGTAGTTGCGATACAACCAAAAAAGATAACTCAGGCCGCGGTGTCATTGCGGTTATTATACTAACGCAGCAGTGCCCTATGTGTACGTTCCGTGAAGCAAAGCCGGTGTCGATTAGACAAACACAAATAAATAATAATAATTGTTTGCGCCAAACGCTAGAATTCAAAATTATTATAAAACAGGCGCGTTAGCGCGCTTTGTCGATGTACTTAGCCGGTGGGCACGCGTCGAGCAGGCGCCCCCCCGCCCGCGCTGAACGCGGGGGAGATCCTGTATGTGTCGCCAAGCGGCCGCCGAGCATTGCTAGCTGTGATTCGAATCGAACCGCGTGGCGCCGAATTTGTTAACGAATTTGTGCAGCGACGAATAATCGTGTTGTCTAGAACATTAGATTCCCGGTTGTCTAATTATTGAGAAGTTAGTATTTAATTGTACCGTTGCGTTAAGCGCCTTAAACAGTCGCGGTCGTTTTTTCGAAACAATTGTTGCGCAGTGAAAGAAAGTGTACTTTGACCCACCAGTCGTGCTGCGTGTTACGCTTTATAATTAACGGGATTTAGTTGCGTCTTGACGTTAGTTAAATGTACGATAAAGTTAATAGACTGAGATAGTGAATTGAAGAAAGAAGTTGTTAATTGGTGATCGCCTACTTTGAGAGATTTCACCTGTGGAGTAGTGGCAGCGCCGGTGGATCTGCGGTCAGACTTCAAAGGCTAATTCGGGTTAAACACACATACACTTCTCATACACTACTTACATTCACTACACCTGACGCCGGAACGAGCCTTGGGAAGCAGGTAAGTCACGTAAAGTAAGTACCTAATCTATATATCTCAAATATCCATAGGCCCTTGGGCCCCATCCTTAGTTATCCCTCGAGTACAGCTGTATGGGCCCCTGTATAGTCGAACTTTATCGGGACAGCTAAGGGCGTGTACAATAATAATAGTTTATTTCAAGAAACTGTACAATTAATTCAAATAATGCCTTAATATAAGATATCAGAGTATAGCGATATAAGAGTCAATAGAAAGTCAATAACAGGCACCTGAACTAGGATAAACCTGTATCTCAGGTGTATGTGCTAATAGATACATTTACAAATATTTTCTGTTTCTTATATATAATGAATAACTTACCAACTAATTAGGGTTAATTCGGTAAAATATTGTTGCGCGCCACTATTAATGTCTTGTACATGGCAACACTAGTTACACTAGCGCCCTCTAGTGTCGAGTAAAAGAAAGTGTTGCGCGCCACTTTTAATGTCTTGTACATGGCAACACTAGTTACACTAGCGCCCTCTAGTATCGAGTAGCAGAACTAGGAGAGTCGAGATCCTTCCAGAAATTTCGGGACCGATATGAACCCGAACATTGTATATGTCGCTGCAGTAGAAGGTTCTGGAAACTATTTGAGGCCCTATATAAGGCCGGTAAAGACGACCACGACCGGGGCAGTATTGAATTGGCGATACAAGAGAATACTTCGAAGCGAAACAACTGCGAACTTAAGTGATCAGTAGAATTATTGTGTTTTATTATTAGTGTGTTTTAAGGTGTAATTAGTATCCGTAATTAAAGTGTCAAATTTGGTAATTCAATCGGCAATTGTTAATTATCTCGAACCTCAAGCTCGTAACAATTGGTGTCAGTAGTGGAATCAAATCATGCCGATTTTACCAAAGGACGACATGGAGGGTATCCGTACCCGAAGTCAACGCCAGTTGGAGACGGACCAGAGACGATTTGGTAATACAACGCCGCAAACATCGGAGGGCCAGCTGCTGACCGCGGAGGCCGGTCCGTCATCAGCTCCTGCATCTACAGCACCTGACTTAGGTGCTCTGATGATGATGCTGCAGGAACAGGCTCGCCGACAGGAGGAACATGCCCGTCGGTTGGAAGAGCAGCTGCAGCGCGGACAGGAGGAACAGGCCCGTCGGTTGGAAGAACAGCTGCAGCGCGGACAAGAGGAACAGGCCCGCCAACAGGAGGAACAGGCCCGCCAAC